AAAAAATGTTCATAACCTTCAGGTTTTACACCTTTAGAATGGAAACCACATTGAGCAGTATTCTTTCCATTGCTAAGGTCTTTGTGTAGTTGAGTGTCTTGTAAAAATAAAATGCATGCAGTACACTAACTTGATACCAAATATTTGGCAAAAAATTTCATAGTACTGTATTTTATTCTTTAATTTGGTTATAACCTCTAAATTTAGTTATAATAATTTTTTTAATATAGAATTATATATATAGAAATCTATCTCCAATCTTCAAAATCAACTGTATTCTGTTTTATTGGCTCTCAGCTCTTCAATAAAGCAGAATAATTTGGGTTTATATTAAATTTTCTTCTCAAAAGCCATTTTCTTTATCATGGAAATGTTTAAGAATTTATTTAATATTCAAAGAAATAAATTTAATTTTTTATCTAAAGCAATTGTTGTGCCTATATACTTAAAGAAGCGGATAGGAAACTTCTAATCCCTTTAATAAAAATATTGAGGATTAAAGTTTTATCTAATATTTGTAGCTTTATTTCATTTGTGACAGCATCAATATTTGATATAAGATATACTAACAATTTATATATATATATATATTGTTACAAGAGAAAGAGAAGAAACGATTGAATTGTATCCATTTGTTACGAAAGTTATTAAATATAAATTTGATATAGTACAAACAATGAATTGGGATTACTGTTATGTTCTTATATGATAGATTAATTTCCTCTTTCTGTGGAGTAAGATTTAGCTATAACAATAAAAAGAATTCACATGTAGGAACTAAAAAACTTTTTTATTATTAAAATTAATTAAATTTTAATATCTTTCAAAATGTTTGATTATTTTTAATTTTTGTGCATTTGTAAACTTTATAGATTTTATACTTTTTAGTAATCTAAACACTTAGGATTGTAATATAATTAATTAAAAATATCTTATTTTCATTACATACTCTCGAAGGGTTGTAGTAGATGGACTGTAGCACTCCAAGTCTATCTGTATCAAAGCTTACTTTTGGTCCATTCATTTTCTTATGTTATCTTCATGTATCAATTTTGATATTCCCTTTCCTTTCTCAATTTTTGTTCAGATTATAATTTTTGTTAGCTTGCCTGATCTTTCTTGAATAATATTTATAGCAAAGTTTTCCTTTTTGTCAAATTTCTATGAGAGTTTTTTCAATTTATATTCTTGATGAAATATTCATAGTACATATATATTGTAATTTGTATAATATAAAATAAGTTATAAATTAAGTTAATATTTAATCATTAAAAATAGACTTCAAATAGGAAGAACTTGAGAGGTGAGCAAGAATTAATTGGTCCTTCCACTTTGTATTTAATTCATTGCAGGTGGTCATTCAAATTCTGACTTGTTGAAGACCAAATCAATTTTTCCCATTAGAAATGGAAAGTGAAGTAATCAAGGTCGATGTTGTCACAACTTTAGCTTCTTTTTGCTGCTTTTGTCCATTACATAACTTGCACCAGTGTAGGTTACGTGATGGGGCAGATTATACAACAATTTTAAATTGCCTTAGCTTCATAACCATAGGTGTACAGTACACTGTACTGTTTTATTTTCATTATAGCAATTTTCTATGAGATATCTGCCACTGTGAGTTATATACACAAAAAATATGATATCTCTTATGTTCATGTAACCTGCACTTGTCTTTTAGAAAGCTGAAAATGTTCATTTAAGCTTCTGATGAATTTTAAAGGATTTTGAATATTTATTTGTTTAAATCAGTGTTTCTCAACAGGGGTGATATCGCCCCCATGTGGGTGTTTTTCCATGTTGAGGGGGTGATTAGTAACAATTTATATTTTGGGAGGAGAAAAATAATTGTCTGGGTGATATAGTAAAACATTATATTAAGAATAATTAGATATTTTATTCGTTATATCGTATAATAATTAAACAAACAACATTACTAGTCACTAGTCTATTCAATGCAGTATGAATTTGGCATTAGCCTTGTCCCTCGGCATTGGAATTTTGTAGTGAAAGGGGCAATACTATGTAATGATTTTATTGAAGGGGGTGATACTACATTCAAGGGGGTGACGATTCGTTACAGTTTGAGAAACACTGATTTAAATAGATCTTGTATAATATAACTTTAATAGCAATAGTTTAATAGCTATAGCTTAAATAGCTATCATTTTAAAGATATTGTAGCAGTGATTCTCAATGATTTTCAAGAGATGGCTGAATGTGCCACAAATATGAAAGTCTTATTTTAAAAATAAGAGAAAGCAATTTGCACCAAGACTTATTGCATTCGTGAAAAACTAGTAGCTTGGCTAGACCTATACAATGGCAGCTATTATAGTACACTGGTATTTATAATTTAAAATATATTTATTTTGTACACAAAGTGCACCAGAAAAATTCACATTTTACATTATTTTACAAGCCAAAAAGTTTGAGAACCATGTATTATAGTGGTAATTTAGTATTTTCTTTACATTTGAAAAACAAAGTAAGTGGATGTGTTTGTTTTTTGTCTGTCGGCAAAAGTTTGGCATTTCAGGCAAAAACACCTATTTAAAATAAATTATGCATTGTGTTAGAATTCAAAAATTGGGTAATTGCATTCAGAATTTTTCAATTTATTTTAAAATTAGGCAATTTTCTATTGCCAAATTCTTTCACTGCAAACATGAAATTATCTAATAAATCATCTCAATATAAACAAACATAATTTAAAATGGAAAATACATATTTTAATACAGAATTTTTGAATATTTTAGTTAATATTTAATCACATTTGAGAGCAAAACCTTACATATGTTATAAGAACAGTAAAATTGGTGCAGTAAAATTATACCATCTGTTTTGATCATAGGCTATTTTTTTTTTTAAGGATTAACAGCTTGAATTATAATTAAAATATAATTTTCTTCTAGAATCTATAGTTGTTATTATGCTATTTATAATATTTTGAAGATCAGAAAGGTGTGTAGATAAGATAGGTAAGTCATGTTGTCAGAATATTTACTTACTTTAATTTTTCTACACTAGATGTGATGTGTAGAATAGGTTAATATAATGCAATCTGTTATTTTGTAACTGAATGTTAAATAAATTTAATAATTTATAATGTTTCAGAGTAACAGAATAGAATTGTAATTTTTTAAAAACAGGAATTAATGAATAGTTTAAATGATAAGTAGACAGCAGATTTTAGGCAAATGCCTATTTTTCCCTTAGCATATACATGGCTAAGATTTTCTACTAACTACTACAGTGAACATTTCTTCGATATCAAAAAACTTCTGGCCACTTTAGCGGACAATGCAGTTTGCGTAACTAAAGCCAAGAAAATTTTGAATGCCATTTATGTTCAGAACAAGTTGATGTGTACATCAAGTGTTATTTCACATTTATTGCAGATACTATTACTGCTCTTGAAAGTAGTGGGAAACTTATATATAAACAAATTGATCTCCTCAACAGAGCAAAGCAGAAACTTTGTGATGCACCAGGCACTGCTGCAAAAAAAAAAGTGAAGAAAGAGTTGAAAGCAGTGCTTCAAAAGAGACTCAGATTAAAGTGCTTTGTTTATTGTGGCTGATATTTTGGCAGGAAAGAAGAACAAAACTGAAAGTGAATTCCCAGTTCATCTTCTTCCAAAGTTGAAATGTTGTCTGTTATCTTCTATAACGTTCTATAACAGATAATATGCTCTTTCTCTGCATATAAATTAATTCTCAGTGACAAACGTTGCAACTTTTCTATTGAAAATTTGGAAAAAGTGCTTGTAATATATTATGAAGCTAACTATGGGAAACAAAGTGAATAAAAAATGCAAAGATAATTGTCTACATTTGTGTTTGCATCATTCTGAATACTTGTATTTTTGTATGGAATACATATGTTAAAAAATTCATCGTCCTAATAAGTACGTTAATTGTTCATTATGCAAATTTTGACCGCCTATTTTTTGTTTATAAAGCCCAAACCACGCAATTTAAGAGCTTATTTTAATCGTCTAAAAAGCCACTTTTAAGGGCCTATATGCCCGCTGTCTAATGATAAGTTTTGTACGCATATTTTTCTCATAATCTCAACAAAATATTTAATGTTTTTAATTAAATGTAAATATATAGGCCACAAACTTCATTCCGAATCCAACTTCTAACATACAAACAGAAAAATATAGTCACGCAAGCTGCGAAATTATGTTATATCAACATGTTATTTTCCTCTTTTTCGTTGATCTGTATTAGGTTAATTCGTTGTGTAATGTTTAAACGAGAATTTACTACGGATCGTTAGCTGATTTTCTATTATTATTTTCTTTTTAAATTTTTCTCAGCTAATGATTCACTCAATAGAAAGTATGAATGAAGCGATTGAAACGTTATACCTTATATATACATCTGCAACATAATATTTTTGTTCATGTAGTTGGAATATTATCCTTCCAATAAGTAAAAATAATTCACACACGAGATTTTATGAATTAGGATTAATTACTGTAAATGTTTAGTAAGAAAAAAAAAATTACTGTTTCCTTGCTTCCTGATGATCCTGTTTTAGAAAGTAATTGCTTTTTTCCGAGTGTTCTACGAAATAAATGCTCTAATTCTTGAATTTTCCCTGTTAAAATCACAATCAGGAAGGACTTTTACGGGTCACATAAGCCAATTATTCCACATAGTTGGTGACTTGTATTTTTAAATAAATTATAGAAATGTTTAAAATTTTATTTAAAATAATAACAATAAAAAAAAAATAAAATAGATGAAAGTAGGACACACAAAATTCTACAAATAACATACAAAGATGTAGAACATTCTTGTTAAAATTTCGGTAAACATTACATTATTCTTCTGTTTTGTAAACTTTTACGAAACTTTACTCATACATAATTAATTTTTCCTATAATTTTCTACGGTTAGATTATTTCGTAGTCATCATTTTAAAACAAATTAAATCATGTTTAATTTGGCATGTTTTCAAAGATAATGAAGGCGGAAAAATTATTAGAAAACATTTAATTATAATTTCACTAAGTTTGCTGATACTTTGTTCGCTATCACTTTTATATCTTTGAATAATTTAAGCGAAATATTAGTAATTTTTTTAAAGCAAATTTGACGGAAATTTTATAAGAAAAAATCCGTTGTACTAATTTGGTTCAACCCTTTTGAATGTTTCAAGGTCGAACTTTTTTTGGAGGTTCCAGAGTCTAGCTCATAAAACAATCTAAATATATATATATAAGTGCTGCAACTTATAAATTGTATATCGATTAGGGTTGTTTTAATGATGTTTTGATAATTTTCAAGTTCAGTTTCCACATTCTTGTGCCACAAAGATCTTTAGACTTTATTCAATATCACCCTCCCTCCCCACCTTCCTCGCCCGGTGAGACGTTTCAAAGTTTATTCCATAGTTCACGATTGTTGTTAGATTTTAATTAAACAACACTCGATACTTCTAGATGTTATCTACTTATATAAATTTCTGGAATGTTGAACTAACCTGCGAAATCTTATCACGTACCAGGTTAGTACGATTACATTTTATCGGATTGTTAAAATTGACCTTGGTTGTTGCACTTTTTCTTCTCGGTTTTTCCAAGGACTTCTACTAAAATTTCATTATTTAAGTATTATAAAGTCGTTCTAAAGTGTAATAATTTATAGAAAATCACGGAAAAAAATCACCACCACTCCTAACCGTTCAATCCGTTTTCTCAACTAATAGGTCACGAAACGTTTTTTTCGAAGGGTCGATAAGCGGAAGAGGTTGAGAAATATCGTTCTAAATTAAGTATAATTCGGAATTTTACGTGTAAGTTACGAAAGAATCTCGAAATGTATCGTGTCCGGCACCGTTCTAGATGTCTATCATTACGCCACTTTACTCGCTACGTATCTAAAAAGTCGCTTTCATTGGTTTAACTTGGTGCTTATTTATAAATTAAACACGAGTAATTAATATTGGAGAGAGATTAATCGATGTTTCACGGAATTTCCATTGATGGTTATGGCTTATGTAAGCGTAGATGTTGCAAGACATCACTTAAGCTCTGACTAAAATAAAATACAGTAGTTCGGTGTGCTTAGCGACAACGTTGGCATTGTCTTCTCTCGACACTGTTAAAATAATAATAATAATAATAACTACTTGATAAGCATTCGGATTACTAGGATTATTCGTTCTTTAATTACGTGTATTATTAAATATGAAGTTTTAGCGTTTTTTTTTTTTTTCCTTTCTTAAAGTGCACGCCGAGAGTTCGTTCACTCCTGCTGTGTCGTCACAGTAACCGACCCTCTCGGTTTTGGTAGCGACTAAACCAGAAATTCGAATGAAAAACGTCACGGAAATTTTGTTCGTCTCTTGTATAATTGATACAAATGACCTTGTTTGTATGTCTAATTATTAAATTGCATTACTCGTTAAAATATACGTAAAATTCTAAGTAATGTTTCCTCACTTCGTATATAGATTTATAAGTCGTTTCTCATAGTGCACGAACGAATTTTTAGCATATTTTTGCCCATTTAAATGCTAATTTTAGCCTTTTTTTAAAAAAAGTTGGCCCGCTTCTTTATGCGCATTTAAGCATAGTTTTTAAGCGCAAATTATTTTGTTTATCGGCTACGTCTAAGTAGTAACGTTTAAAGAATTTTTGTTTTTCTATTTTCCTTTTTGCTTTGTCTAGTGTGACGTTTCGTCCTGTTGTAAGTACACTTGCACTCGCAGGTGACGTCATTCGATACCAACGTGTCTGCTGGAACGGATGGCTTCCTTCTATTCTCGTAATTATCTTTTGCATTGAATCATGCATGCCTTTAATTTCGCGTAATGGAACGATTATTTTGTTTCTACGAAACGTTTTCAATATATTAATGTAGTAATTTTTGTAGGTAATTTCTCTATTGCTGGTTTTACCCAGGATTGTTGCACTGTTCTTAGGCAAAACTTTAGGAAGAAGGAATATTGAATAAATATTTAACTGGATTTTTAGTTGTAAGTAGTTTGTTAATTAACTAATATATATAAAATGAGATTAATTTAATCAATACAGGTCTAGATACTCTTTAGATATGTTTAAGAGTAAATAAATTTAAAATATTCTGATTATAAATGTACTCAATTACATTTTTGTTTTTAATATTTAAACTGTGTTACTCTAAATTTCGGTTTCCTTTTTCCTGGTAAATAAATATGCCGTAGGAAATATACTTTCTTTTTCCTTTTTCTTCGGTCTATTGATAAATAAACAAAGCTCGGCAATAAATTTTTAAAATATTTTCCTCGTATATAAATAAAGCTACTCATTCATTATATAAGTGTTAACTGTGTATTGTTTTATACATTAATTTTTAATTTTTTTTTTTTTTTTTTTTTTTTGTGGAAATAACAGTTTGGAATAAATCCAGACATAGACGGGGTCGGCTGGATAATTTGGCCGAGTTTTAGACGTCGAGAAGCCTCCAAAATTTAGTCTTTTATAAAAATATTGATACAAAATAAGTGGTAACAGATGATATTTTTGTTTATTTTATTATATTTTTGTGAGTAGGACAGGGGCGAGACCCTGTATTTGTGGCTAGCATGGGCCCTATCTCACTTCTTTTGCATTCTGGTTTGGAAATAAGGACATAAGCAAATTTACCTTGATTGTAAAACTAAACTTTATTTATATCTGAACAATTTTATATATAGGTGATAGATTGTTATAACTTGTCAACTGTAGATTGTATAAATATAGATTAAATAACAGATATTATTTTAAGTTATCATAAATAATTTCTTGATATCTTAATCTTTGAAATATCAAAATTAGAAAGCATATATGGAAATTTTTTATTGTCTACAAATTAATGTCAAATCTGATAAAAGTTTATAGAAAGTTAACATTATTTTATATAAAAAAAAAAATATTTACTACTATAAGTTAAAGTTCTAAATTAATTAAAGTTTTAGAAACTGTTTTCGTGCATATCAAATAACGTTTTCATAAAAGTAAAATAATAATAATAATAATAATTAAATTTTATTCTGAAGATAAATAGAATTTGATCATTTTATTCATAGTATAGAATTATTTTGTTATTTACTAAAGAATTTTAATAAATAAAACAATATTCTTACAATTTATAAAGAAATTATTATAACTGTTAGCTGGATAGTCATATAGTAAGCTAACTGAATTAAAACTTTAGTAATCCAGGTTCATAATTTGCTGTAGACAGGATACATAAGTAGTTTGTATGAGTAGTGACTGGCAGGAGGATGAGGAAAGGGATCTCCTCGTGCACACAAATAATTGCAGGTTGGAACTACCATTACTGGACCTAATAGTAGCCAGCCACATAGCATTAATGTGCTTATGTCTTGTATCAATTAATTAATCATTATAAATAGTGGCGTGTTATCCTATGGGCAAAAAGAGCAATTGTCTCGGGTCCCCACCAATAGGAGGCCCCAGAACAATCTTTTATACAGAAAATTTCCCCAAAGAAAAACATCTGAAGTCAATACTGTATGTGGAGCCCCCTAATTCAAATTTGCCTGGGTTCCATACTGCTATAATGTGCCACTGATTATAATAACTAATAAAATCTGCTTATTGTAATTACTTTGAGACTTACCTAAACTGACGACGATAACATTAAGCTGGGTAAAATAAATAAGACTACAACTGTCAGAAATTTTGGTTTTATTGAATCTGGCATTAAAAAGACATGTTAAAATTATTTTAATATGTTATCATTATGATTTATGAAAAAGTATTTATGATAATAATTCAATTTTTGTGTTCCCTTGACACTTGGGGTCCCAGGGCTTAAACCCTATTAGTCCCTATGTAGATCCGCCCTTGGGTGCAGGGATCGCTTCTTTCCTTCCGGCTCCACTTCAATTCTATCGCGATACGCCAAATCGCGCGATGTCCTAGTTTGATATAAGTAAAACGAAAATATAAATTATTTAAGTTTGTGTTTTAATTTTTAATAACCGAAACTGCATTTCTAATATATTTACATCATTTNCTTTTATTAATATATTTTAATTGATATTTTTGGACAAACCGATTCCGATTATAACAAATGATTGATAAAAATATTCAAACAAGATTCTGTTGTATTAACATTTTTAGCTAATTTGCTACCTTCGGGCATAATAAAATAAAGATTACTGGTTGAATTTTTTTTTTTTTTGCACTACATCTGAAGATTGTGATTTATTGAATATTTGTATTTTGACTACATTTAATAGTCCAAAAATAAAGTATTTCTGTTTGAAGTTTAGTAGTTTTAGATCAGAGGTTCTTAATCAGTTTTCTGTAAACCTGCCTCAAGTGTTGCACAAAAAAGATTTTAAAGTTTGAAAATTTATTCTAATCTACAACATATTACCGCATTCATAGACAATTCCATGTTTCTATTTTATTCAATACATTAAAGTGTATTAGTACATTGCTTCATTGTTTCTTGAGAATAGCATATGTGGAATTGCTTATCAAGTTTTGAATATATTGATGTATTGATACTAATGTTTCGTGTAATAAAACATATACGAATGGTTTTCCACTGCCTTGGGAAGGTCGAGAACCACTGTGTTAGATGATAGAAGCCATCTAGTGTTTTTTCTTTCAAGTGTGATTGAAAATTTGCATTTATATATATATATATAAATTAAAAAAATTTGTGTTAAAATAGAAATAGGAAAATATACACTATTCAGTTTTATTTTTGAGTTGCAAAAAATTGATTTTTCAATGACTTTATATATTTTATTTGATAATAAAACAATAATGACAAATATTAAAATGGCAGAAGTAAAACAAAAATAATTTTGTAGATTGAAAGTTTACAATTTTCAATTTTTTGTAACAGAATTATTTCAAAAACTTTTAAGAAACATGATCATTTCAAGCAATTGTTAGTAAGTTAAGATGTTACATAAGGGAAATAAAGAAATATTTTTACGACAGTTTAACTTTTACGATTATTTTGCAAATATCGGTAATTAAAATATTTAAAATATTGCATTACAAAGTTAGTTCTATTACTGGTGAAATGTCTTATAATCTGCTGTATATGGTGTTTGATATGTGACGACCTACTAGCTTAGGAAATCTAGATGCGAAAATCTAAATCTTACAATTGAATAATAATTTTGAATTGTGCAAACAATCCTGATATATAAAAAGTATCAAAACTGCTGACAAACTGTAATATGCGACATGAGTAATTATTAAATCTTTTTAATTTTTTTAAATGTTTTATTTTATGTAAACTATTTTTTAAGAGCTTTGGTTTTGAATGAGATATTTCAAGATCTTATTCCCTTTTTCTTGGTTTGGTCAATAATTAAAGCAATAAAGGTAATTTAAGCTGGTAGCATTAATGCTACTAGCTTAAATTAATGTTATTTTTTTATCAGATTAGTAAGTAGAAAAAGATGATCTGCTTGACTCAATACTGGGGATGTTGCAGAATGCTTAGTCTCAAGTTGTGTGTCTAGCAGCATGAACATGTTGAGATTTGATTTACATGATTTGAGATTGTTCAGTTAACACCATTCACTAAAATTTGTTCAATATGTTTGTGTTGTTATATCAAAATTAAGCATTCAAAATATTTCAACATGAGCTGAACATATACCACTTTTAGTAGTGACAGTTTAAAATATAAAATGTATTATCGCTATCATAATATTTATCCGTAAGCTATTTGTTTTCGTGCATTTTGACTTGTGACAACTGTGACCAAATTAACCTGAACATACCCACACAAAACAGAGGACCTTGCCTCATTAAAGTCTCATCTTGTTACTTGTCGCTAATTGTTTCTTTAGTATTCCTTACTACTCATTGTTCCATATTTTTATAAAAAGGAATTGTGCAGCAGTTTTCAATTCCATGTGGTAATTGATTTACATTTTAAAAATTTTAATAGTAAGTAAGGTTAAATTGTTAGAAAAATTGTGTTAGTTAATGTAATTAATAAACCAACTTTAATAATTATGAGTTTTACAAATAAGTAGCTTGTTTAATAAACATTTATTAAAATTTGTATCATATACACATGTTCTGTACAGTACAGTGTATACCAGGTGATAGTAATTAAACTACTACTATTCAGTGTTATCTAGAGAGAGATTTAACAGTCCAAATGCAGCCAAATCTGGTATGGTGACATTTCAGGGTATGTGGAAGACAAAAGTCCATTAATTAAAAAATTGGTACCCAAAATTCCCCACTATGGCACTTTTGGTACTACAAACAACAAACATTTAATTTTATTTATACAAGACACTTGTGCTACACAGAGACCTTAGCAATGCAGGTGATTCTGCTCAGTGTTGTTCTCCATTCTGAAGGTCTAAAACCTGAAGATGTGTTCATTGGCTGATCTATCTGATCCTCTGGGATGACACATTTTAAGTGTTTTCACAACCAAAAATCACACAGGTTAAGATCTGGAGAATGAGATGGCCAGGAGGTAGATGTGACTAATCACTCTGTTACTGGTGAAATGGCATAGAATATGCTGTATATGGTGTTTGATATGCAAAGACCTATTATCTCGCATGAAAGTTATTGGTTCAAGGTATTGTCATTATTGCACTTTGTGTATAACAAAACATTTTGATTTTGAACTATTGAGCATCTCTTGGTATCTCTGAGCTGTCACATTGGGTTTGCGACATACTCTGTGAGTCTATTTTCTTCAAAAAATGATCAAGGAAGAATGGTAAATGAAGCTGTGAATTCACGCTGGAGTAACTTTAGATAAGTGTAGAATTTGTTGGAAAACGTGATTTTCTTAGCCCAAATGTGACAATTATGGATGTTTACTGTTTCACTCTGATAAAAATTACCTTATCATTTTACAGGATCTTTCATGGCCCTTCTGTTCTGGCCATGAAGATTAATGCAAAGGTCAGTCAGGTTTCCCTGTTGGTAGCAAGCAACTACTGGTTGTTGCTGACCTTATATGTATAACAATATACCAACTTTTTCAATACCTTCCTCACCGTGTCGAAAAATACACCTAACTGCCATAACATTACATTTGCAGTACTGGAGCCTGCAACATTTTTCATTGTCTTTTCAACAACAGTTGTAGTAACATCTTCAATGACATGTGAAGCGATATGTTTGTGCTCTCGACTGGGTTGAATTTCCTGACATTTATTTTCGTTGAATTGAGTGATCATTTTCCTGAGAGCTTGTGGAGTCATGGTTCTTGATGTAACTTCTAACAATGGCAAAATTCCTAAAGTGCAGCCACAGCAATGTTGTTTTACAAAACAACATTGCTGTGGCTGCACTTTAGGAATTTTGCCATTGTTAGAAGTTACATCAAGAACCATGACTCCACAAGCTCTCAGGAAAATGATCACTCAATTCAACGAAAATAAATGTCAGGAAATTCAACCCAGTCGAGAGCAGCTTCACAAGAAGTGCATGTTCCAGCAAGATGATGGCCATCCTAGCCAATAAGAATTGACATTCAACAGTTGCGGTTGCTTTTATGCCCAGAACTTGCTTATGTAAAAGAAGCTGCTTTTTTTTTATGTTTGCACACTACAGAGCAATTCAAATGAATCTTTCACAAGCTCTGAAATGTCACCATATCAGATCTAGTTGCAATTGGACTGCTAAATCTCTCTAGACAGCATTGAATAGGGTTATTTTAATTATAATCATTTCTTCTCACTGCTTATCTCATTTTTATATGAAGTTGCTTTGCCTGTTTCCTATACAAGAGACTGGGAATTAAGTATTTTATAGACAGATGCCCTTCCTGCCATAAATTTTCTCTCTATTATTGGGATTTGGGACCTACTAGAGCTTTCTGGATAAGGTTAAATGGCACCAGGTCCTTATCATTGTCTTGTAAGAATACTAACCAAGCCCCACACTGCTTAACTTTGGTGATTAGAAACTAGTACATTCAATGAGGGATGGTTGTTTATACATGTACACATTTGTACATGTATAAATTTATCTATACAAACTACAGTATTTGTGCATATAAATTTTAAAAGTGTTAATTGAAATGTAATTAGTGTAATCAAGATATTATATATATTTAGTATTTTATTACCTTTTTTACATCTTAAAGCTATTACATAAATATTTGTTGAAATTGGTTTATTATACAATTTATACATGTAATTGAAACTAATCAATATTTAATTAAAATGTTAATTATGTTTTTCGTTCTTTTTAAAAAGAATATTTTTAATTAACTGCTAAAAATGCTTTTGTATATTTTACAGGTTTTCTGTGATATTTATTACATCATTGTTTTAAGTGGCAATCTACAATGAAAGATTGTGATGACATTTCTGTATCATCAGGGATTCATCATCTGCAAATGGTTTCATCACTGGGTTCCATAATGGCAAATTTTAATGTTTCTTGCTTAGATAATTGTTCTGGGCACGGTGATTGTTATAATGGGACTTGTTTTTGCGAGGTAATTTCTTAAATTTTTAATTTATTAATATGTATAAAGTAATAACAATAAATTTTCCAGGTACGAGCTGTTTTAATTTAGTCCGAAAGAAATTTTTGATTATTTTATATCAGAAATATGTTATGATTGATAATTTAAAGCTAAAATTAAATCTGTTAATAACAATTTATCAAAAAATACTTTTTATTTTCCTCAAAGTATTTTTTTTATAGATGTAAAGATATTGATTTTTATTGACATAAACATGGTATGATGATGGTATAAACATGCTTATTTAATTATCAAATTTCTTTATCAAAATTATCAAGGATCACAAAGTATATGACCTTACTAAGTTTTAGCCTTATTGTATATTGATGACATTATAAGTTGATGCTTATTATTATTATAATAAGTTTAATCAGCATCATCCTATTCATTTGTTCAGATTAAAGGTACAAATATAAATATCTGTTAACTCAATTTTTGATTAAGGCCAAACGATTGCTCGGTTTTATCCTGCAGTACACAATCATACTAACTACTCAAGCTCAATTATTTCCCACAATCCTGATTTTATTTTTTCCTTTCTCGTGAGATGACTAAAGGAGGTTAGTTTTTGTGCATTTATATTGACCCTAAATTCTTCTTCCTAAAGCAAACTGTCACATTACTGTTACACTCCCACTTATGGAGACTTTTTTTAATCAACCAACATGGTGGATGTATTAGGTAATTGCTTTTCTTTACTCCACATTCAGAATTACTGGAATTTATCCTGTATTGTAGTATTTCATTCAAAGATAGTTAAAATAATCAATCCAAAAATCTGACCTTGTTTACAATATATACAAAATAAACAGGGACATAGACTTCTGAAGATTGGAAAAATATACTTTAAATTTAAGACACATCAATTTTAACTTCAGAAATATGAAAAATATATGTTAAATCAGTGTAGTAAATTATATGAAGTATAAGATGATTTGTAAAGTTCTGGTGCAGTCTTAATAACTTTGGATATATACATGATGGAAATACATTGTAAACAGTACATAAAAGCTTAATTCTCGGTTATATTGCATCTCATAAATGTTACAAACTCGTTCCATAAGCCATAATAGACTGTTACCTTTTTCTTTCACTATCACATTTTTTGACAAAATTAAAGAAAACCATAAGATAAATTAAAATTGAGTGACGACACTGTTACGTCAAAACTTTAACAATTAAGCAATATATAGTTTACAGTTTATTTCTATCGTGTTTACATTCAAAGTCATTAAATTTAAAAATTGCACAAGGATTTCATAATCATCTTGTATAACTGTAGATAGTTCATTTTGATTTTAACCATCTTTAAACATGAGTGAAACTGGTCTTGACAGTAAGCTATGAAATACTTAAATATATTTAGTAATAGATTAAAACATTAAAAACACTTTTGCACTTGCCATTGGCTGAGTGGATAGAATCTCTGAGTGAGCCCTAGTAGTTTGTCCCGGGTTTGTGCCCGACCAATGGGCTAACCGCATGGAGTTTTTTCACGTGTCAACACATATAAATAGGACCAGTTTTTCATAGAATGTTCTCCAGAGAGGTGCTTTCCCTTGGCAGATTGCCCTCATTTTGTCATTACCTTATCCAAAATAACAATAGCTTGTTTTTTTACATTGTTGTCATTTTTCTGATAAATACTATTGAGAAATGTTTCAGATCAATGAATTTTTAAAAATATAATAATAATACTGCTTTCACAATATTTAATATTTTTTTCCTCAAATGCATTTAAAGTTATTTTTATGACAATAATTTTGTCTACGTAATCCTTCCAAGCAGTATTTTTACTCTAAATTTATTATTATTAAACATTTGCTATTAAATGACCTTTATTTTATATGTATTGAATATCCTTATGACAGAAAATTGTTTTTCTTTTATATTTAGAAACTTCATTAATAACTGACAGCTATAGTTTAAAAAACAATATTCTGTATGCTACAGATGCATTCACATTGATGATAATCTGAATGTTAAAATGATAAAAAAGTAATCAAATGATGACTAATAATATATTTTTTAATTATTACGTAAGTTTAATTAGAATGAATGTTCTTGTTGGATGTTACAGAAATTTTCCGAAATTTTGCATGGAGATCTTTGTGTAAATTTTGATACTATTAAATTTAATTAAAGGTAATTGATACTATTAAATTTTGGTGGTGAAAGGTCGGGAGATAGAGGGGCGTCTGTGTTATATCTCAAGTGGGGTCAGACTTAACAAAGATTTTACTCATTACTAGCATTTGCAACTTTTTATAAAACTCTCCTCTACCCTCAAAATTAAGTTTTTTGCTATTTTTACAATAATTAATAATATAAAAAGTTTGTTAATGAAATTCATAACACAGTGCACTGTGCAGTTTTAAGTCTAGCCAGGAATGTTTCTCAACTTGTTGCTGGATTTTAAAAAAATTTAATGTGTAATGTAATGTATTTAGAAAAAAAAAGGAAAAAAAATTGATTTATTACAATACACATTCATAAATCTTAACATAAAAAAAGTCTCAAATATAGTTTTAATTCTGTTTATTCAGTAGGATTTAATCGTTATACATTTTGAATTTATGCCTTACATGGGGTATTTTGGCAGTTTTATGCCATTAATGAATGTCTAAAATTATCATCTAAATTACTTTTTTAACATGTTTTAGTTAAAATTAATTTCCAAATGTTTAGAATTAGCATAAAAAATATTAATTTATTTAAACTTTTTTTCATTGATTTAATTTTAGAATCCATTGTTTTAGTTTGACTCTTGGCTTCAATTTACCAAGCTTTTTTTTTTTCTATAAGGTATTTGCTTAAGTGCCATGTGAGACTTTTTTTTTCATCGTAATACAGAAAACTTCATTAACATTATTATTTAATAGTAAATTGAAATTCTAAATATTGTAATAATTAGAGAATCTGTTAATTTACTAAATATATTTCATATTTATCAATTTAATTGATCTTTAAGGCTCTGTTATCGAATGAATTAACTAAATTTGTAAACATTCATTAAAATTATGTCCCTTAAAATTAAAAATAAATTATTAAAAAATCTACGAGTAATGGGATAATTCTAAACAAATATTTTACTATTTAAGGATATTTTTAAGATATAAAATGTGTTTAGACTATCTTTATTTATAGTTTTAGTATATTTAAAATAATTTTTCCATTTGGAAAAGTCTAATTGCAAGTTAGAACATGAGATAGCTTTATTCTAACTGGTGTCTGGAGATCTATTTTTTAAAATCTTGTTATATTTTTTAATAAATGTTTCTTGTTAATAATTATTACATATTAGATTAATTATGTAATAAAATATTGTTTATAGAAGTAATGTTTTCTTCTATTGCAGGTAAAATATAGCGGCGGTACTTGCACCGATCCAAATTTTAGTTATTATATTGCATTTTCTTCCATTTTTTATATTATATGTGGAGTGTCTTTTATTCAATTGGTAAGTTTTTGAATTGATGATAAAAGTATTACATACAGTAAGTTCAGATTTTACATTGCAATACTGTTGACACAGCTAATATCTGTTAATTGCCGCTTTGAACATATGTAACAGACATTGAAAACTCCGTGAATAAACTTTTTAATTTCTCAACATTTTTTTTTTTGTAAGCAGAAGCTATTTAATTTTAATTATTCTTTGAAGTGAACATACGTTAAAAGTAATTGTTTTTTTTAATGCGTTTTGTATATGCTGTTAACTGCTAAATTTTTCTACATATTGACTAAATATTATATCATCTCTGTAGAATAATTATGACAGGAATATTTGTGGTTGTATTTAAAATCAACATATATATGATAAAACATATAAGATGAATTTATTATAAAACATTTTTATATATCGGGTGGCCAACCTGCGGCTCTCGAGCCACATGCGGCTCTTTGAAGGATTATTTGTGGCTCTCAATAAATGTACCCGAGTTCCCTTTTCATTTTTGTGTTATTATATTTTTAAAAATTTTTATCGTTCCGTATGTGTTTCAAAATGTCTTTTAAATTACTAACAACAAATATGAAAGACTAAGTGCAACGTTGTAACAAATTTCATTTCCGTCCAAGTTAAGAATGATATGACTCATCGAAAACTGCGCGAACGAACATAAATAGTGGCGTAATCGTCCGTTATTGACCGACTCCAGACCGACTTTGAATTTGTAAACTGTCATTGCAACGGACAGTTGATATTGTGCTCTGGAGGAAACAATTTGCATCACTCTTGCTACGGATATAATTTGTAATCTGGAATTTTTGCATACCTTTTTAATACATATTTAATTGCGGCTTGCGAAAAATTTCAATTTTGAAAAATGGCTTGGACTATCAAGGAGCTTGCTACCCTGGTTATATATTATATGAGCATAAATGATAGCTGGAGATTTTATATGCTAAATTAGATACTTTAATATGTTGATAAATACAGTAAAATCTTGATATAATGCCCTCTTAATTAGTGCCATCTTCGTAAAAAAAAAAAAGCAATGACTACTTGCAAATGAATTGTTCCCGTAAATATTAAATGGCAAGTTCTTCAGTCTCTGAATTACTAAATGTACTGTACAATATAATTTTGCATTGTAAATGACATTGTTATCACCAAATTACAATTTAGACTTTAAAACTAACAATTAAACAACTAAAACTTATGTCCGAAATAAAGACGATACATTTTTGACAATTTATGCAGTTTCAATAATTCATTTGAAAATAATGAATTTTCCTAAATATAGATTGAAACTTGTGTTTTAAGAAGAGAAGGAAAAAAATGCGTACTATTTATTGAATTTGCAAATTACTCAGTCTAGTTGGTCCTGTTATTTATACTTGCCGAACTAGATTTCATTATAATTATAAACAAGACATGAATCACTATCACAATATGATGAGACTTTATATTGAATGTTTGGATCTAGCAAACCAATTCATCTTTTCTGAGATGTGTCAAAAGATGATCTTTTTTACTAATGTGACACAGTGACACTATACTGTTTTAATTTATTATCATTTAATTTGTTAAAATTGCTTGTTTTTTTTTATCCTTATTCTTTAAAAATATCATATAGTTTGTCCCCTAAGCCAATTATCATAAATGTATTGAGATTAGACATATAAAACATTTGTTTTTATAGTAATAGTATATTTTTACAATTAAAGTAAGATTATATATATGTTTAGAAGTGTTAATTTTAGTACTTGAAGATTGTAATATTACAGTAAATTTTGTATTTAATTTTTTTTTTCAGATTCTTTCCATAAAAGCAGAATTTGGTCGCTTGAAATCTCCATCTTTATTAAAAGCATGTAGAGTTACTAAAGAAAAATTGTTATATGTATTAATATGCCTAGCGACAGGAATGAGAGGGTTTTATTTTTCGTCGCCTGTAAGTAACACAAAATTAACTTAAATGTTTCACTTCTGTTTAACATATTGGTATAAAGAAATTATATGTTAATTTTATTTACTTGCTTAAAATATTGAATAAATATCATGAGTAAGATCTCAAATTGGAAACATTACATATTAAAGTAAGCATCATAAATAAATAAGATTATGTTACAGATGAAGGGAGTGAAAGAGTGAATTAGAAATTAGTGAACTTAATGCCTTATTCCCACAGATTCCATTAGTAATGGATCCAGAACACACAGCATAAGAAAATACTTTCTTCCGCAGAAGCATCTTTAACGAAATTTTTCTGTCTCTGCTCTTGAGCATAGGGAGAAATCTGTAAGAATCAGTATGGCTGAGAATTGCAAGTGAAATCTGATATTTAAAGGCATTTTGATTTCAATAATCTTTCCACTGAAAAATAGATTTATAAAATTAAATTCTTCCCTGGAATAGTTTTTCAAATAATTGAAATCATTTCAGTTTTAATTGAATGGCAATTTTTTGTCATATTTAATTGAACAGTTCAAAGTTTTGACTATTAGAAAACTGATTATTGTGCCTTATATTAAATAAACCAGATGTAAAGAAATATGTAAGAAACAAGAATGTGGGAATAAATAATACACTAGATGTGAAGAATTAGAGATGTAGCCAGGCAAATATTTAATCAGCTATGTGTTTGTTTATTATAATTTTACTATTTATTTCATGCTCTTGTGCTCTCTTAAATATACTAAATATACATCATTTGTCTTCACTGTAATACTAATTAATGATCAAACTTTCTAAAGTTTTGACAATGAAATCAATAGTAAGACACCTCAAATATAACAGTGAAGTCATAAGAAAATACTGAAATGTTTTGTATTTCATAGATTATTCAGATACATCTATTAATCTCAAAAAATTTTTTTTTATTGAAGATCTTTCACAAAGAGAACATTGATGCAATATGGTTAAGTAACAAAGATGCTTGCTGGTGTAATAATAATGTCTTTAGTACTAAGACAAATATTTATTTCACTGAACTCAGAATAGCATCCACAAATTATTTGAAAATCACAAATAATACAGTAACTTGGACAACCTTTCAACCCGAAGGTTGTCCAAGTTAGTGGGATGTTTTCTCTGGTGATGGAGAAAATGAGAAGGCGGATATACAGTATAGTAATTTATTAGGATATACAAAAGTTTACTGAGCTTTAGTAGGTTTTACTACTAAATTCATTATTACAAGAAAATGAGCTTAAAAACTTCATGACAATAATATACAATCTTTAGTAATGTATCTACTACAGTGTATGCACGGTATTTCAAAGACTTTGGATATCAAAAACAGTTGTTAATTATAATTTTTCTATTGTCAAGAAATTTTAAGTTACTGTTTAATTTTTTGAAAAAAAATTTTTTAAGTTATGCAAAGTGTGCATTTGTGGAGGTTTACTGTAATGTTAGACTAATTAGAGTATGTTTTGACTAAGCCATTTAATGAAATCATAAATATGTTAAACAAATAATGTATGTATGTCATATATAGAGTGAATGAATTAGAAGTTAGCAAAACTTAAGATCAGATTATTAATTTAAGATAATAACTAAATGTCTTTTTGAGATAGTCTTCAATCTTCAATACAGTCGACCCCCCTATAACACTGTTGATTATTCCATTTTATATGAATTCCATGTTGTACGAGTCACTTAGATTTTACAAATACGTGTGCCGGGCTGTGAACGGTTCACGTATTTGTAAAATCTAAGTGACTCGTACAACATGGAATTCATATAAAATGGAATAATCAACAGTGTTATAGGGGGTCTACTGTAACTTTCGCGGAATACATTTGTACAAACCTGGCAAATTGTTGTAGCATTTTCAGTGTCACAGGTAACTTCACAATGAACTTTCTTTCGTTCGAACACACCGCTACGGAATATTTTAGTAATCCGCTCTTCTTTATCAAGGAGGTTCGCGACACCACCATCGATTCTCCATTGTCGTTGAATATAGTCACTTCGTCTGAATTGAATACTTCCTGGCCTTGTATACTCGGCATTTTCCTTTCTAAGAAATTACACTAATGTAAATTTTGAAGAAATAAACAGGAAGACAGTGGAAATTTGATTCCTTCTCACTACATTCGCCGGTTTGCAGACGTTTAAGTCGAAGACGTTTGGGTTTACATGCAAATGAGTCGATTTCCTCGTGATTATTGGCGAGTTGTTAAGAAAAATATTATTATACTTGAAATATTGTTTTCGTTTATAAAGAACAAACTGAATTAATAAGGTTAAGTCTACGTTCTCCCGTAATGAAGTTATTTTACGACACTTCATACAAAAGGGAGGAAAGTCATTCGTGCTCTAAATTATGCAAATTTGTTGTATTTTGATCTGACAAAGGACGTTGCAATGTGTTCCTCGAAGATTTTTATAATACTGTTTGTGTGAATAAGCGAATTTTTATAAAGCAAAGAGAGAAAACGTTTTGATGAAAATCGAAGTTAAAAAAAATCCAGTGATTCCTCGATCTCTTGATTTAGAGGCAGCGTGTCTTCCTCGTGTGGAACGTTGTAGTATTCTCGATTGGGTACACATTATTATAATTTATCTTTCTTCGGCTCGTTTTCTGGTTCTTTTCGCTCGAGTATATTTAAATTTTCGGACATTAGGACCAATCTGTCGTTGGCCACATTAGCACGGTTTGGACGGAACACGTAATTGGCGCATTCGAGTCTGGTGTAGACCGAGATCAGACTCTTTGCAAGGTCTTAAAAACATTATTCAATCATTCGAAGTTTAAAATGTGGGTCTATCTGGTACGGTATTTCATTTTAAGAAAAAAATTTTACATTTTTAATCATTATGAAATGGCAAAAATCGTAATTTTGAGAATAAAAATGGGTTNTTCAGAGGTGTGTGAATTAAACTCATTAATTCAGAACTAAATTACTTTATTCACATAAAATAAGTATTATAGATGACATCTTTGTTTCATATGTAGATTGAGGTTTCACCATGTGTATTTGTTGGCAAGATCAACATGGTCAGCCTATGGAAACACCCACATATGGTGAACACCCCAGCCTATGAAACCCTTGACTAAACTGTGATGCACTGATAAGAGATTAATGCCCTGTGGATCTAGGAAAGTGACAATGTCATACTGAGTATATGAATCCAATTAATTTATCACTGCCAAATTATCTATGTATACAGAATACTCTAAGGCAAAATTATTTCCAATTCCTTAAGGTACTTGCTTAAGAATTACATTTACATTTTACACATCATTTTGAAGCTTGTTTAATTTAGATTAGTGCAATTGCATTTATTTTACTATTTATTTTCATTTAAAATAATTAGAAGCTAAAATATGCCCAATTTTATTATTGACATTTATGATGGCACTCCTTCCTGCCATTCCAACTTACTCTAATCCAGTATAAAAGCACTTCCAAAAATAAATTCTTGAATCAACATTTTTTTATTTATTCTGATTACTTTTAAATTTTATATTATTAACAGAAAGATTATTGTAAATTAAATTTTAGTCAGAAGAACTTTTCTTTTCATTTCTTTTGAATAAAATGGCACTTAAGAACTTTTACAGATAAGTGAAAAAGAAACAAAAGTTACATTCAATTAAATGTCATTGACTTAATTTCCATGCAGAAATGAATACCTAACTATGAAGGTATTTACAGAAAAAATGTTGTACACCAAAAATTGTCTCCCCTATATTAATAAATTATGCATAAAGAAAATTAATGCTTCTTTATTTTCTATATTTATTTGTAGTTTAATAATTTTTCTGGCCACAACTATAGTAAGTAGGAAACATAACTACAGATATTTTTCTTACGGACAAATATAATGCTGCTATTTTACATAAGAAATTAATGTGATCCACACAGATCTGTTAAAGTATATATTGATTTCTTGCCTTATTCCTTCCTTTTCGTAATGCTAGAGAACTCTGTAATGACTTTATATGAATTTTTATAATTTACTCCTTTCCTGAACAGACACACTCAGGATCAATGACCAATTCTAGATCTGATGACTAACTTGTCTACTCTGTCTGACCTATAATTAACTGACTGATTTAAACTCTTTGGACTGTGACTACATAACAATAAACTGGTAAAGACTCTCCTGTTTATAGTGGATCCCTCAGCCAATACGAGAAGGTCTCTATTTTTCCTAACTCCAATGATATTTTTGTTTCCTTCCTCTTTTAAAAAGAAGTGTTAAAAAAACAATTATCACCCAGGAACTTCTTTCTTTTGGGGGTGAACATTCTCAATTAGCCAGATGACAAGCAAAAGTTGCTTAAACTTTAGCATAAATTATTAATATTTTTGTATTAATTGATCTTTTGTTTCTATATATCTTTGGAATCTTGCACAGACTTCAAAATAGTATTACCTGTTTTTAAACAATTCACTCAAAATTAACTATAATGATAAACTTTTATATACTTACTTCTGCCCAAAAACAAACAATAAGAGATGATCCTGTTAAGACCAATGGATAATATGCTCTCATCATTCCTGACGCCCAGTGAAGATGAGAATTTTCCTGTTGAAAATTGTTCAATAAACAAATTAATTTTCTTTTTAATCAAAAATAGAATCAATAAAAATTATATTATTTTATAAATATAGTTAAAAACTTTGAAACTTTTTACTTTTATATTGAATTATAAAGTTTGTTGAAGCTATAAGATATAAATTTATGCTAAAATTGAATTGTTTTTTTCAAAATTTCTAACTATATTGATCAATTTTGTACTGGCTTAAAAAAAAATTTGAATTTTCAAGTGAGATCAGTATTAAATAATAGGTTTTAATAAATGTCATGATAAAATTAATACATCTGGAACAATGCCATCAGCTTACATTTGTTCAATTATCAAATATCAAACATAGCTTGGAATTTAACACAATACTGAAATAGAACTTCTAATTACCTAAATAATCTTGTCATTTCTTTAATTTCTTGATAGAAACTATTATATTAATTATTCTGTATACAGTCGATTCCCCTATAACACTGTTGATTATTCCATTTTATATGAATTCCATGTTGTACGAGTCACTTAGATTTTACAAATACGTGTGCCGGGCTGTGAACGGTTCACGTATTTGTAAAATCTAAGTGACTCGTACAACATGGAATTCATATAAAATGGAATAATCAACAGTGTTATAGGGGAATCGACTGTATACAGAATAATTAATATAATAGTTTCTATCAAGAAATTAAAGAAATGACAAGATTATTTAGGTAATTAGAAGTTCTATTTCAGTATTGTGTTAAATTCCAAGCTATGTTTGATATTTGATAATTGAACAAATGTAAGCTGATGGCATTGTTCCAGATGTATTAATTTTATCATGACATTTATTAAAACCTATTATTTAATACTGATCTCACTTGAAAATTCAAATTTTTTTTTAAGCCAGTACAAAATTGATCAATATAGTTAGAAATTTTGAAAAAAACAATTCAATTTTAGCATAAATTTATATCTTATAGCTTCAACAAACTTTATAATTCAATATAAAAGGAGCTTGCTACCCTGGTTATATATTATATGAGCATAAATGATAGCTGGAGATTTTATATGCTAAATTAGATACTTTAATATGTTGATAAATACAGTAAAATCTTGATATAATGCCCTCTTAATTAGTGCCATCTTCGTAAAAAAAAAAAGCAATGACTACTTGCAAATGAATTGTTTCCGTAAATATTAAATGGCAAGTTCTTCAGTCTCTGAATTACTAAATGTACTGTACAATATAATTTTGCATTGTAAATGACATTGTTATCACCAAATTACAATTTAGACTTTAAAACTAACAATTAAACAACTAAAACTTATGTCCGAAATAAAGACGATACATTTTTGACAATTTATGCAGTTTCAATAATTCATTTGAAAATAATGAATTTTCCTAAATATAGATTGAAACTTGTGTTTTAAGAAGAGAAGGAAAAAAATGCGTACTATTTATTGAATTTGCAAATTACTCAGTCTAGTTGGTCCTGTTATTTATACTTGCCGAACTAGATTCCATTATAATTATAAACAAGANTTCTATTTTTGATTAAAAAGAAAATTAATTTGTTTATTGAACAATTTTCAACAGGAAAATTCTCATCTTCACTGGGCGTCAGGAATGATGAGAGCATATTATCCATTGGTCTTAACAGGATCATCTCTTATTGTTTGTTTTTGGGCAGAAGTAAGTATATAAAAGTTTATCATTATAGTTAATTTTGAGTGAATTGTTTAAAAACAGGTAATACTATTTTGAAGTCTGTGCAAGATTCCAAAGATATATAGAAACAAAAGATCAATTAATACAAAAATATTAATAATTTATGCTAAAGTTTAAGCAACTTTTGCTTGTCATCTGGCTAATTGAGAATGTTCACCCCCAAAAGAAAGAAGTTCCTGGGTGATAATTGTTTTTTTAACACTTCTTTTTAAAAGAGGAAGGAAACAAAAATATCATTGGAGTTAGGAAAAATAGAGACCTTCTCGTATTGGCTGAGGGATCCACTATAAACAGGAGAGTCTTTACCAGTTTATTGTTATGTAGTCACAGTCCAAAGAGTTTAAATCAGTCAGTTAATTATAGGTCAGACAGAGTAGACAAGTTAGTCATCAGATCTAGAATTGGTCATTGATCCTGAGTGTGTCTGTTCAGGAAAGGAGTAAATTATAAAAATTCATATAAAGTCATTACAGAGTTCTCTAGCATTACGAAAAGGAAGGAATAAGGCAAGAAATCAATATATACTTTAACAGATCTGTGTGGATCACATTAATTTCTTATGTAAAATAGCAGCATTATATTTGTCCGTAAGAAAAATATCTGTAGTTATGTTTCCTACTTACTATAGTTGTGGCCAGAAAAATTATTAAACTACAAATAAATATAGAAAATAAAGAAGCATTAATTTTCTTTATGCATAATTTATTAATATAGGGGAGACAATTTTTGGTGTACAACATTTTTTCTGTAAATACCTTCATAGTTAGGTATTCATTTCTGCATGGAAATTAAGTCAATGACATTTAATTGAATGTAACTTTTGTTTCTTTTTCACTTATCTGTAAAAGTTCTTAAGTGCCATTTTATTCAAAAGAAATGAAAAGAAATGAAAAGAAAAGTTCTTCTGACTAAAATTTAATTTACAATAATCTTTCTGTTAATAATATAAAATTTAAAAGTAATCAGAATAAATAAAAAAATGTTGATTCAAGAATTTATTTTTGGAAGTGCTTTTATACTGGATTAGAGTAAGTTGGAATGGCAGGAAGGAGTGCCATCATAAATGTCAATAATAAAATTGGGCATATTTTAGCTTCTAATTATTTTAAATGAAAATAAACAGTAAAATAAATGCAATTGCACTAATCTAAATTAAACAAGCTTCAAAATGATGTGTAAAATGTAAATGTAATTCTTAAGCAAGTACCTTAAGGAATTGGAAATAATTTTGCCTTAGAGTATTCTGTATACATAGATAATTTGGCAGTGATAAATTAATTGGATTCATATACTCAGTATGACATTGTCACTTTCCTAGATCCACAGGGCATTAATCTCTTATCAGTGCATCACAGTTTAGTCAAGGGTTTCATAGGCTGGGGTGTTCACCATATGTGGGTGTTTCCATAGGCTGACCATGTTGATCTTGCCAACAAATACACATGGTGAAACCTCAATCTACATATGAAACAAAGATGTCATCTATAATACTTATTTTATGTGAATAAAGTAATTTAGTTCTGAATTAATGAGTTTAATTCACACACCTCTGAACCAAATTCTTCCTTGGTTTAATTTCCTATCCTGGCGGGGTCTGACCAGAAAGAGCCCGATGATGTTTCCCTTTTCTGAAATAATTATTTTCTACAGTTGTTTTGTATTAATACATGATGATAATTTTAAATTATACATTAAAAAAAATTTTTTTTTCATTTCAGGTATTCCATTTACCCGACATTCAGTCGGATCAACCTTGTTTTTTAAGTAAATCTTTCCTGGGATTTATTGCTTTTAATATCATTCCCTACACGATGCTAATAACTGAAGTTTTACTACACCAGTTTTTTATTTCAACTGAAATTGAAAAGGTAAATTACTGTAAATTTACTCGAGTTCCTTTATCAAATCTCAAGATACAACTGTTTTAGTTATTAGTCATAGAGTTATAAGTTATAAGCCCTAAAGATAGGTTTTTCTTTAACTATTTTGGATTTCTTATAATTTCTAATTCTAAATAAGATAGAGTTTAAAGAATTAATTTCTCATCTAAGTTAAAATTAAATTATTACATCATTGAAAGTATTTTTTTTTTTTTTTTTTACTCTTTCCACATTGTGAGTACTTAGAGCAATTTTTCATGGGTCCACAGGGTGGCTGAGTGGTGAGGGATGAGATCTGACGTGTTGGGACAGACAATCCCCAAAAAATTCCTCAGATTTGATCCTGTGTCCCCTGAATGTTGGGCTAACAACTTAACCACCTTGGCCATCCATTATTATTTAATAACTTAAATAATAATGACTTAAATTACAGATCATCAAAGAAACTTTTTCTTTTCATTCTGAAAAGAAAAAGTTTATTCAATCAAAATATCTTTCTTTTGAATGGATTTAAAATGTGTGCTAATTAACATAATTGTGAGAATCTGGAGCCAAGGGATTAATTTTAACAAATTTTGTTACAATATTTATTTAATTTATTTGATAGAAATTTTATGTTTCTGTCATGCGTCAGAAGCATGGAGGGCTTATTTCAAATAATCTGATTGAGGAAATTTTCATATAAAAGGTGATGAGTCACCTTCAAACAATGGTTCTCTAGCTCTCTTTCCAGTAATTTTCCATTGAGGTAAGATTGCACTCCTGATTCTCTGGCTCTCACTCATTCTCCTATTGAGGTGACATAAGATTTTAGAAGAATTTTAACTTTTATGCATCAGTTCAAGAATATCGCTCAGTGTCAAGCATATATATATATATATATATATATTACAGGTAATCTAAATGTATGTAAACACTCTCTCTATGAAAGGATTTAGCTATTGGATTGCCATTCAATCTTATTCCATTAAAGGTCATTCATAATTGGAAGTTTGTTCCTTTAATATGTTTATTTGCATTATTTTGAATTTAATCCTTGTTTGTATATAAATATTATCAAACCTTTCTTAATAAATATATTTTTATTTATCTCATTCTATTCATTTTTGCTTGACTCCATCATTGACTCACATTTCAAATTAGACCCTCCTAAAATTTCAGAAAGTTTTAGTATATTTAAAATAATTTTTCCATTTGGAAAAGTCTAATTGCAAGTTAGAACATGAGATAGCTTTATTCTAACTGGTGTCTGGAGATCTATTTTTTAAAATCTTGTTATATTTTTTAATAAATGTTTCTTGTTAATAATTATTACATATTAGATTAATTATGTAATAAAATATTGTTTATAGAAGTAATGTTTTCTTCTATTGCAGGTAAAATATAGCGGCGGTACTTGCACCGATCCAAATTTTAGTTATTATATTGCATTTTCTTCCATTTTTTATATTATATGTGGAGTGTCTTTTATTCAATTGGTAAGTTTTTGAATTGATGATAAAAGTATTACATACAGTAAGTTCAGATTTTACATTGCAATACTGTTGACACAGCTAATATCTGTTAATTGCCGCTTTGAACATATGTAACAGACATTGAAAACTCCGTGAATAAACTTTTTAATTTCTCAACATTTTTTTTTTTGTAAGCAGAAGCTATTTAATTTTAATTATTCTTTGAAGTGAACATACGTTAAAAGTAATTGTTTTTTTTAATGCGTTTTGTATATGCTGTTAACTGCTAAATTTTTCTACATATTGACTAAATATTATATCATCTCTGTAGAATAATTATGACAGGAATATTTGTGGTTGTATTTAAAATCAACATATATATGATAAAACATATAAGATGAATTTATTATAAAACATTTTTATATATCGGGTGGCCAACCTGCGGCTCTCGAGCCACATGCGGCTCTTTGAAGGATTATTTGTGGCTCTCAATAAATGTACCCGAGTTCCCTTTTCATTTTTGTGTTATTATATTTTTAAAAATTTTTATCGTTCCGTATGTGTTTCAAAATGTCTTTTAAATTACTAACAACAAATATGAAAGACTAAGTGCAACGTTGTAACANGACTCACATTTCAAATTAGACCCTCCTAAAATTTCAGAAAGTTTTAGTATATTTAAAATAATTTTTCCATTTGGAAAAGTCTAATTGCAAGTTAGAACATGAGATAGCTTTATTCTAACTGGTGTCTGGAGATCTTGACGATAGTCTGAGAAAGTTGAGGTATTTGTGTACTTTCCAACTTTTGACGATTAAATAATGGCCATCACCCAGTGAGGCAGGTTATTCCAGAGCCTTCAGGTATACCTCACCTTACGTCAGTAATTGGTTCCAGGAGAGGTGACGTAAGTCGAATTTACTTGTCTCCAAATCTACTTGTCACTAGGCTAAACCATAAATTACCATTCCAGGTTTTGTATTTTATTTATTAATGCATTTTTAATAATATATGGTTAATAAGGATCTATTTTAAGCTTACAAACAAATAAATTTTAGTTTTTAATATAGTACAGAAAAAAGTAATCTAAATTTACAAATGCATGTACAGTACTGTAAATACAGTACATACTTGTAAATGTGTATATTTTAATATGATTTTATGTACTTTAAATGCTTTTCTAGTGATATTACAACTTCAATATTTGTGACGGACAGTCATAAAGTCGAATAAAATGACAAACTTGATTTTTATTTTTCCATATACTTTTTTTTGACAAACGACGTATAATCGGGAATGACGTAAGTCAAGGTATACCTGTATTTATGCAAAGAAAATGACATAGTGTGAAAATTCTCATGGGACCTGTTTCTAACTCGCTTGTAACTGGACAGGATTTTCTGAAGCCTCGATTACAATATATTCAGAAATTCCTTGAAATAATCTACATTGATTTTTCAAATGATCAATTCTTTTAGAAGATACAAATAATAAAAATAAATTATAAGAATTTTATTTAGAATAAAAATTTATGTGGAAATTTTAAAATGTTCACAAAAATAACAACATAGTAGTAGACAATACCAGCAATACAAAGATAATCATTCTAACTAATATGATATATACTTTCATAAATTAGTTTACAAAGTATTACCATTTTAACATTTTAAAAATTAATCATTAAATTTTTTTAGAGTTTCATCACAACAATATTTGATAGTTTATACGCTGCCCTCATATTTATAGTTGTTATATTTTTCCTCATTTATGGAGTACAAGTATACTTCAAAGTAAGTAAAACTTAAAAACATTTATATTTAAATTAGTTTAAAAAGGGTTTTGATTTAATTAATAGATTGGTGATGTTTCAAATACTTTCTATGAATAATGAAAGTTTAATTTTGGTGATGTTTCATTATTCATAGAAAGTATTTGAAAGTTTAATTTCAATGAATGTTTAAATATTGAAACATTTCTATTATATAGAACATTTATGCTATTAAATTTATAATAAAAATACTGCAATTTAATAAATTGTTTTGAAAGGTTCGCGGAGGATTCATAGAAGCTTCATCGACAATAAACTTGTCGCAGCTTCATCAGTCACGTTTGGGGCTCGTTTCTCAAGCCATTTTATTATTGCTGACTGCTGGTTTTATTGTTTCTGATGTTCTTGGAGGATTTTGGAAAGATAAGTAAGTAAAGCCTTAATAAATATATTTAAAATATAAATAACTATTCATTTTCATTCTGTCCAATAGATAAAATTCTACATTCAAGAATTGAAAACTTTATATTTGAAATTCTTATAATGAAACTGTGCCTTTTCTTTGTTACTTTCTCTTATACACAATGAAATGGTATAATAAGGCAATAGCCTATCAATACATCCACTTTATTAAATATTATATTTTATATTTATTTCCAAGACTCATTTTCAATATAAACCCCTCTTCTGTTGGCTAAAAATATACAATTGTAAATACTATACTACAATATTATTACGATGTTCTTAAAATTTACAACATAACTTGATGTACATTCTTTTCTCGTTTTAAAATCACATTAATTTTAATCTTTACAATTTCTTATAAATTTTAATTGTTAAGTTCTATTTTTACATCAGTTTTTACATTTAATATTAGAATTTTTTTATACCTTTATAAGCAGTTTAGTAAATTTTAACAAACACAACAATTACACTACATTACATGTAAATTATATGATAAAATACAAAGCTAATGAAAAAGCTAATACATAAATGTCAAAAATGAAATATGGGAATTTTTAGTGTAGAAGTGTTGATTCAATGTAATGTAATGTGTTTGTTAAAATTTACTAAATTGCTTATAAAGGTATAAAAAAAATTCTAATATTAAATGTAAAAACTGTTGTAAAAATAGTTAACAATTAAAATTTATAAGAAATTAAAATTAAGATTAAAATTAATGTGATTTTAAAAGGAGAAAAGAATGTACTGTACATCAAGGTATGTTGTAAATTTTAAGAGCATTGTAGTAATATTGTAGTATAGTATTTACAATTATATATTTTTAGCCAACAGATGGGGAGTTTATATCCGAAACGCCTCTTGACAATAAATATAAAATATGATATTCAATAAAGTGAATGTATTGATTGTCTATTGTCTTATTATAACACTTAATGTAAAGTGAAAGTAAAAATAATTAATATGTTAAAATAGTATTTAAATTTTTATTTATAAATCACCATGAGTTTTATTAATCAAACATTTTCTCCAGTTCAGGAAATGTTTAGAAAATTGGCTTCTTATATACACAAATCTTGTACAAGTAATTTTTTTAAAGTTTCTTTTGACTTTGAATACAAAGAATAAAATCATTAGTAGCTAGATCGAAGAATAGAATAGTTGTGGAGCTCATACAAGATAAATTAAAGAAAATTTTGTGACTTTTGAAACAAACTTCTTTAAATTTTAGTTTAAAATTATTACATTGTTGAAAGTGTTTTTTTTACCTTATGAACATTAAGAGAACCCTTTTTTCAGGCTTACAATGTGGCTTTATAGTGAGGGATGAGACACAACATACCTAGACAGATTACTCCAAAAAAATTCTTCAGATGTGTTCCCCGGAGTAGTAGGAGTATTCTGAATTGGAGAAAATATATTACAGTTTAGAATGATTATATATATATACAGAAATTTATTTAATAATTTTCAAAATAAAGATGTTTATGATTTTTTTTATTCCTAGAGCTTTTTGAACCACACCTTGTTTAACAAAATTTAAAAGAAATTAATTAATTTAAGACAGAATTTGGATATTGATTATTCTCTTTTTTAGGTTACATGAAATGAATCTAAGCTTTATAACTATTATTTTTAAAGAATTTTATCTTCTTTTTTACCAGATAGTATCTCGAATAATTTAAAATAATGGCAAAATATAAATTATAAGCATTAAAGCATTTTCTGAAAATTATTTAAACATAAGTTCAACTTTGAGTAAAATACTTCATAATATAATAATGTTTTTCAGATTACCAGTAATGAGCAGAAATTGGTATGATATTATGTATAAAGTAGCTGAACTGGGAGTTGTTTTGTGGTTTCCGTGTGTATTGTGGAATTGTATTAGGTATTAAATAGAATTTTTTTCTTTTTGATTTAATGAAATTTTATGTATCAAAATTGTATATAATTTAATTGTAATCTTGTTTGTACATTTATTAAATTAGTAAAATCTCATAAAAGATGCAATTGAAATATAATTTTATTTAGTAATTGATGTAATTTTTATTTTTCTTAGTCCGGAACAGTTATGGATATTGAATCCAAGAAGAATTTTACAGAAGTTAGAAAGGAAAAAGCATTATGATGAGACAAATGCTCTCGTGTCGCCGTGTAGAAATATTGTAGTCATCAAAAATGGTTAGTTTTGTATAAAATGATAATTACTTTCCTTGAAGTAGTGTAGATTATATTTGTACTTCTGTATAACAGTTTACTCTGTAAAAAGTATTTGAACAATTTTTCATATAATTAAAAAAGTTAGTGTGAGCTCACATTTATTTTTATTATGGTGAAGGTATAGTACAAGATACAAAAAAAAAAAGATGTAAAAAGATAAAATATAATCTCATTATTGTAAATTTCTTTTGTTTAAATTTAAATATTGGAAAATTATGTCAAGATCAGAAAAAGATTTTCCTTATATAAAAAAGTCTATTTACAAATACAATTTCTGCCATTGTATAACAAAAATAAGTTTTACCAGATAAGTTATTAATCTTTTTATGTTTAAAATTTTATTTTAATAGAGTCAAATACATTAGAAAGGCTTCCAGAATGTTGGATATGTTATGATTCGGAAAGAACTGATGCGGGACCTCTAATCCAACCGTGCAACTGTAAAGGTGATGTGTCAATAGTTCATCATGAATGTCTCAAGAAATGGCTTGTTGAAGTAAGTTTTAAATTAATTATTTGACACAAAATAATAATTGAACTTAAATTAAATATTAACGTATCTAAATTAGATTATAGTTAATTATTATCTTTATTCATTGCTACTATAACTAGAAAATATAGAAGTACATACTAAATAATTCATTTAATGGCTATAATTTTTATTATAGTCATCAGCTAATCCAGACTGTAAAGAATGCAAAGTTTGTAAAGTTAAAGTGAGTATTTTTGAAACTGTAAAGCCAGAATTTGATATTATGATAAAAATACAATTATTCATTAATTAAATTAAACCTATTTATAGTACGAATTAGAAAGTGGCCACGTCTGGCTCACGAAGGGGCTAACGCCGACGCATTGGGTTCAGACCGCCGCGATCATAACGGTTATGTGCAGCGCCATCACCGGAGCCTGCATATGTGTCAAGGTGTTTGATAACGTCGGCATCCGTACTTTGGCCGTAGGCATTGCTTTGATTTTGGAATATGTGTGTTTAAGGTATGTTTTAAGAATTTTATTAATTTAAAAAAAAAAATCTTTAGAATTTCTTAACTTTACACTGTTATTCTATAAAGCTAAAACTTTGGTGAATTATAAGNTTATAAAATTATTATAAAGATATATAAATCAGCAAATAATAAAAACAATATATAATCTATTGGCATATCTAAATGGCAAATAGTCTCTCTTATAGAAATCACAGCATTAAACAAAATAATAATTTTTCATCTGTATGGCAATTATAGTTTTCCACTTGTTATCCATAATTGGAGGGGATTCTTTTCACTTAGCATTCGTCATTTTTGTGTTGCTATATTCACTCGACGGTGTCTCCGACTATTTAAGATAAGAAGAATGAACGTTAAGTGAGCTCGTGTTCAAGAGTTTGTTAGCGTATCACTGAGAGAGACCGAGCAGATGAATGGACAGATTTGTGATTGTAAAATTAGATTTCTAATTCACTCTGTCTTCATAAATTCTAAACTCACAATGCAAAAGTTTGTTCATTCTAAATATTCATGGATAGATTTGCAGTTAATATGTTTAAAATGATTTAATTCTTCCATCTGGCTAGAACATAAAGAAAAGAACCACTACTACAACCATAACTCCTGAGAGAACACCAATAGCTGCCCATTGTTTTCTGTCTGAAAACTGTTATTCTATAAAGCTAAAACTTTGGTGAATTATAAGTACTTTAATTAATGCTACTGCAGCAAATTGATATTACACCCAATTCTGTTTTTACACAAGATTGGTTCCCAGAAATGACATGTAAAAAATAAATTGTATATATGGAAAAATTAGAAGATTGGTTACGGACGTAAGAAATAAATGAAAATAATGAAATAAAATTTGATGATATACAAAAGCATATGAAAAAAAATTTTTTTTATTTCATATACATTGCACATAAATTTATGTTCCTGTAATTCATTTTTATTTCATTTGAAAAACAAAAAAAAAACAAATTAATGAACATAAAAATTGGGCAGAATGTATAATATGAGGTATACATATGCATTTATTGTCAGAAGTGATGGCAAGTAAAATCTTATGTTTGCACATGATTGCAGTATCACTAAAAATGGTTTAGCCATTGTGTTCTTCATCCACAGGTGAAGTTCTTTCTGTGAACTCCCGAACGTTAGCAGTAATGTCCTGTTCTGTCGACGGTAACTGGTTTTATAAACAAATTCAGTTATTCTATATCATACAAACGGCTGGGTTCATATTGTGGCTAGGTCTTTATATAATTCTCTATAAGACAACATTAGAGTTTCAATGTAATCTGAAATTATTAAAGCTCATTCTTCATTAGAATTATACTTGATAAATTATTATTTTTTTAAAGTGTATTAAATCAAAATCGTTTAAAAAAATTCCATGTAAAAAACAGAATTCTATNGAGGCATAGGCGGTGGCCCACGTCGTCCATGCCTTACGCCGCCCTTGGTCATAGAAATGATGTAATTTGAATATAAATTATTTGTAAATACGTATGTCAAGTTATATTTTTATTACTACGTAAGATATATTTAAGAGTTTACGACCACTGTGCTGGGTGAAGACGTTGTTGAAACAAAAAAGGTTATGCATTCCGTCACGTACATAAACAGTTTCGTAATTCGCCAAGTGCAAATCAGCAAATTCGTAAAATTTTTGTTTATTTTGAACAATCCGGATAATCGAAAATCTGGATAATAGAGGTCCGGATAATGGACGTTCTACGTTATTTATTTGACAAGAATGGTAATAACTTCTATTTAAATCAGATAATTTAACAATATAGTAAAATAAAGATTGATATTATTTAACTTTCTTAGCAATTTTGTATAAATCTGGCACTGTGTACTTTGTTTCTATCAAAAAAAAAATGTACAGAATTCTTATGTATACAATGACTATTATATGTAGTAAACATAGTAAAATCAAAGATTATATTTTCAAATACAGGTTAAGTGATAATGTTTCAGTTGTTTGCTATTCAAAAATTACACAAAGATCAGTTAGGACATTAGGACTTAATATTTCGTATTTCGGAAAATTTATTCCGAATGACACAATTATGAAACTTACCAATGAAAATTTTCATTTAACTGTAAAGCTTTCATTTCAAATATGAAAAGTGGAAATTAAACCTGAGCTGAATGTTTTTAAGTCTTTCAAATGTAAAATGTATAATTATGCAGAATGTTGTTCTATGCATCAGGAAAGTTTTATTTTTAAAAATTTAGAATAATATTACATTAACTTTTCTATATTTGATTTATTAAGGGTCAACTGGAGTTTAGAATAAATTCTGAAATTGGTATTGTTTGAGAATATTGAATCCATTTGCAAACTAAGAATTAGATTTATATTTCAAAATAAATGTTCTGTACAGAATAAAAACTTTAAATATTCGTTTGAAATATTTTATACATTAAAATTGAATAAATGCTTTTATATATTTAACTAAATATTTATAATGTTACNAATTCAGTTATTCTATATCATACAAACGGCTGGGTTCATATTGTGGCTAGGTCTTTTATATAATTCTCTATAAGACAACATTAGAGTTTCAATGTAATCTGAAATTATTAAAGCTCATTCTTCATTAGAATTATACTTGATAAATTATTATTTTTTTAAAGTGTATTAAATCAAAATCGTTTAAAAAAATTCCATGTAAAAAACAGAATTAGATGTATAGTCATACATAATAATAAACAGATAGGAATGATTTTTAAAAGGGCAGTTGCAGTAGTAGAAATTTATATTTAAAATGAAGTGAATTATAAACTAAAGGTTCTTAGAATGTTATTTTAATAAGCATATTTTTTAAAAACTTTATTTATTTGGATAATTGAAAAGATATTATATAATTCATTGTCAGTAAAATTATCATTTGATCCAATTATGAAAACTGTTAACGACATCCCAATGCCTCGAAGAATCCGATTTTCAGTTTTATTTGATCAGGATATATTGAGTTCTGTCCCTTATCCAGTTGCTGAAATGTGGACCTTGCAGAACCTATGATGGGTAGGAGAGAGCCTTTTTTGTGTCTGCAGGATGGATTTTTTTTTTAAAGTTGATGAATTCTGCTACTTGATTAAATATATTTAGATGGTTTCCATGGAGAGATAATGTATGATGCATGTTTATAAAATGCCAGTTAAATAAACACACCATCTTTTAGTTACGGAGATGACGACAATTTACGAAACTGTAAGAAAGAATAAAAGGAATCTCTCTCTAAATCCATTTTGATGAGTTGTTTTGCATCTTAGAGATAAAATTTGTTGATGTTTATTTTATATCATATGAATTTTAATATTATTCTTTCATTTCAGATTGTTGGGATTTAGTATTTTGCGAGCCTATCAGCGAGCAAAGATTTCGGCAGTGAAAATTCTCGGTCAAAAATTTGGGAGGACAAATTCTACAAATGCTTCCGCTTCGACCGCGCATGTACGTCTTCTTAATAATAGCAATCTCGAAGAACTAGACGTGGCAACGGTACAACAGTCTATCATCGTGGTCAGGACCATCACTGATCCCAGTTCCACGCGGATAGACTCGCACAACATTCATGTTGAAATACGCCCTACATGATGGATGCATGACTGGCTCTGTTGAAGGGGTGGAAGTAAATCCTTTTCGAAAGTCACTATTTTTTATGATGAATTTTTATGGTGACAGGTTTGTTGACGAGCTAGCATCACGATTTGAGATTTGGTTTGATTACAAAAGGGAATGAATTCCTATAAAATGGATCACCAAAGCATGCAGTTAAATAGACCTTATTGATTTGGCATAGCTTTGAAATAATTTATATAAGGTTCTATGCTAATTTCAACTTTGCAAACAAAGAAAACAGTTTTAAATTAATCCATATTCCCTCAAACATATTTTCTAAAAATATGCCTAATTCAAAATTTAATTATCCAAATGTCACTTCCAAATTCGGTCGACCGTACCGAATCCGAAAAATCAACACGACGCATGTGTTTTAAATATCTACAAACAAGAAGTAATACCGTACAACAATTAGGTCTTCCCGTACAGACAATTAGACAGTCGTGTCTGTTTGTTGTTTAATTCGACTGTACCTAAATGTAATTATCCTAATAATTTTTTACCAAAATATGCATCAATTTAGATCTCGTTCAGTGTTAAATATTGCAACTTACAATACAAAAACTGACATTCCACAGAAATAATTGACAATTTTCTGAATGGTAATGCGTTCAGAATTTGCTATTTACATTTCTCGTGTGCACAGAAAAGCGTGCAATAAATTAACAAAATAAAATTTGCCAGAATTGTAACTTTTCTAAGATAAGAAAAACGAGGAAACAGATTCAAAAATATTTTTGATTCATCTTCCAATTGTTTTTAGGCTTTTAGATCTGCATAGCCAAAATCCAGAAAGACAAAATATTTAGAATTAAGATCACAAAAATATATACTATTTAAATACATTATTGTATGGCAGTAACTAGAAGTACAATAACAAAACAATATTTTTAGAACTAAATATTAAACTTTTCTGTGTAAAGATGAAGAAAAATTACATTAGATATTTTGATGTAAAATAGAGGATAGACAGAGAAAGATGGGCCCGGGTGAATTATTTAAGTATATATTTTGTGGTAAACTTACACATTTAGAAATTATCATTGTATAATCACTCCACAAAAACATCGATAATTTTGAGAGATTATGAGAAACATAAAATACATTCATCCAACTCTTCTTCCGCAAACCAAATGCGCTAACTTCCATAGAAATAATCGACGTGGATTTAGTTATACCATTAATTCTGTAAATTGTTAATTCTGCTGGAACTATCAAATTTAAATTGGTATTGTCTTCTCCAAACCGGATAATCTTCCACTCTAATGTACAGAAAATTGGAGGACATTCCTCCGTCACTTGCTCCTCTCTTCCCGCAACCCATTAAGAAAAACAATATGCATTCATACAACTGAACCACTTCATTCCATTTTTTTTTCTCTATGTAAAGTGTAACTTAAGTAAATCATCATTTATAAATTGTCAAATTTCAATGTTAAATGGTATAATTTTTAAATTGATTTATTGCTACAATTAATCAAACTTAAAATTTCCTCAAAAAATAGTAAGTTTTATTAAGTCTTCTACTCTACACGGTACCTCGGCCCAAAGTTTTGTGGTTCTGGATATATTTGTATCCTACACCGTAAAGGAAAAATGGTTTAAAAAACATATTTTTCTAATTAGAAAGAATGTCTGTAATTGTACTTCTAATAATTGTTTAAAAAGAATCTACGGTCACCCTTCGACACGATTTGTGCCAAAGAATTTCATTCGTACAGTTTAGAGAAGAGTTTTGTAGAGGGAACGAGCGGCATGCCTTTATGTTGTACATTAAATATAAACAATGGTGTATATAGCGATCCTGTTGTATAAAATAAAATTTTACTTACAATCCAATTAGTGTGTTTCTTTCGGTAATGAGAATCCAACTGGCAATTGCTACTTGAAAATTATCACAAAATTGATAAATCTTTCTGCAACCGGAAAGTTGGAGCCAGTATTGGCTCAATGGCTCCAACCAATACTCTACTGCAGGGGTGGCCAACAATTTTCACCCCCGGGCCGAATTGGAAAGAACTTTTTTCACGGGCAGAACCAGGGGCTGCCCTAGGAAGATTTTGAGGTGGTGCAAGATCTCATTGTGGTGACACCCGTAGAGACTAAATTGTACATAGATATTACAGATACATTTTTTTACATTATCATGCTTTATCAACACACTATGCTGTAATGGAGGGTTAACTCTAACCGGGCAAAGTTGTTAACTTTTTTTTAGCCATCAGAATTTTTCATCGAGATATTCGGATTTAAGTAGTTAATACTGACAGATGACTCGTGGGCCACATAAATTCAATAGACTGGCCGTATGTTGGCCATGCCTGCTCTACTATGTGCTGCTCATGGGTTAAAAAAAAATAGGCTCACCTATGTGTGTGTTACCGACATTTGGAATATACTGTGCCATTTATTCAAAACTTGCTTTGATTTTAATTCATTTTTCTGTACATTGAAGTTCGCCTGCTGACTACAAGTTGAGAAATGCCAAGATTGGATCCTGAAAAGTACTAAATAAATTAAAATAAAGAGAAAAGGATGCATTTGTTAAGCATAATTTTACAAATAAATATAATTTTTAATTGAGTTATGTTGGTGTAATTAAATAAACCTGCAGAGCTGCTTAACTTTCCCGGAACATTTAAAATTTTGGTGGCACTATCTGTTATATTTTATTAAACTTGTTATAAGCTTTTTATATCTTTAACTGACAAAAATGTTGAGGGTAGGGATGGATGTGATTAAAAAAATCATTAAGTCCGATCCTGCTGGAGATACACGACCCCCATTAAAGGTTGAGGGGGTGGGGAGATAATCGCCAAAATTTAATAGCATCAATCCCCTAATAAATCTCTGCAAAATTACAGAAATTTTTGACAAAAAGCATGGGAATTAAGCTTCAGAGGGTGAACAAAAGTGTGTCCCCCAAACTAACATCCATAGGGAAATTATCTCAGATTTTTTTTTTGCACTTTGACATTTTAGTGTCCCAAGTTCAAAAATGTAAAAATCTGACAATTGGTCAAAAAGTGACTCCCTAATACTTTCCCTCTGTTATATATAATAAACATCCAGGAAAGTAAAATTACAAAATGACACATTCTTTACAGAAACCGTAAATTGGCAGTGTCGATGGCTTTCAGACTAGCACCGGTCCGGAGACCACCATTTTGGGTAACACACTCATAATACAGCTTAAAAAATATTGTAAGGTTTAATTATATAAACAACTTAATGGTTGAGGCTAAAGATAAAAAAAGCAAAGTTAGATTCCAAGACCTGCAATTTATTTTGTACTTAGAAAGAACAAATCATCTTACGTTCAAATATATGGGTTCTCTTAAAACATTATCTGATGGCAAGAATTTTTTTGGCATTGCCCAAACTTATGTATGTGGCGCCTATTCCGTCACTAAAATAAAATTGGTTTAAGATTTGTATGTTATGCCAAATTGTCCAACTGTAAAGAATAAAGACAATATTGCAGAAATTGATGCAAAAGAGAGAGAGTTTTGTTCTAAATCTTCACATTGTCATCGAGGCCTGTTGTATGCATCTGCAGTAAACCGACCTCACGTGGTACTACTGGATATGCATCAAATGGCAATGCTCTTAAGCAATTCCGCAGGAAAATCCAGAGAGGTCTGTCTTATCTGGGTTGCCAAACTTCTATGCAAACCACCAATTGAGGTGATGGGCCATTGTGTTGGTCCTAAAACGTGGTTTGTCGTGTTGTAAATTTGGCACATCCTCTGCCTGTTGTGCTGGTTGCAGATAGCCACGACGTGCACCCATTCTACCATGACAGGTGTATTTGTTTCCTCCGCAGTCTACAACCTAACCGATGCCAGAAAGATCTCTTAGAGACTCTTGCATCTAAAAATCATTGAACTTGCATAATAAACAGACAGAGCAAACGTGATTTAAAGAAAACAATTTTAATACTTATAATTTGCTGCATTTTAACAGTTATATTAAAATATACCACAACAGCATATATATACAGCACTTCAATCAATATCACTGCAAAAATACATTCCTAAAAGATTTCTAACAATGTTTCCGATCGTAAACAATCTACATCAAAGTAAATTCTTAAAAATAATTCAAAAATTTACACCCGAAATTCAATTCGTCTGGATTATATAAACTGTCGATTTAATAATAATAATTAAATAGTTTCTCATTTCTCTTTACAAAATAAACAAGGCAGATAAAATATATTTAAACCTTAGTTATAATCGTCAAAATTAGGAAGAAATTTCTCGTTCGACCGACCAAACAATTCATTCCCAGCAAAATATATTTCTAAAACTCTCCTTTCCTAGTTAAATATTTATAATATATAATAACAAAAGAAAAAAAATTTTAATTTTAAAATTACAATTTACAATTTTGGCCCTTGTAAAATGTAAAAAATAATTGGAATGATGTTTCTGTTTAACATTTTTTTTTTAACTCGAAACAATTGGATTTTCCTATAATTATCCTAAGAAGCTATTCTTTAATACGTGTATATATACATACTTTATTGTTTGAAAGCGGAGGCGATAATTTCGATCTCAAAATAAATTTCTTCCTGATTAGAACAGCTGTACAATGCTGACTAGATATTTAAAATATATATGGAAAAACAAACTAAATTACATACGTTCAGGTATTCCAAAAAGTCTGTTTTTTTTTGTCTTTTGACTATAAAAATTCTTTTACAGAAAGGTACTTCCGATTAAAATATATTTATTCTTTGTACTGATGCGTCGGCTCTAAACGGACAGACTGACTGACGTGGCATGTAAGAATGATATGGAATCTGAGCGTTTTACTGTAAAATGGAGTTAATAAAAAAAAATATAGGCAAAAGATTGAAGTGTTAGAACACATTTTTACCTTATTTAAGAGGAAATTTTACAACTAAATGGTCGTTAGAAAAGTAATGATCGAATTTTATGATAAAGCTAATTACACATATAAGTATATATATTTATATATATATTTTTAATGAATTTTGAAGAATTCTTTTAAAATTTATATACAGAATTAATCACTTGATATGTGTGATTACAGTGATCAGATCGTACGGATGCGATCTAGAGTTAAATTATAATACTGATTTGATTTAGTGGTGTAAATCTACTTTAGTTTGGTTAAAAGAATTCCAATTAAAAAATCGTTATTTTGAAGGAAAATACAATTGTAAATTTAAAGTGGAATTACAGAGAAATGAAAAAACTATAGGAGAAGGAAAGTCTTACATAACTTAAAAAAACTACAAACTACTACCTTAAACTTCCCTATCGGTGGAATGTAAACTGATTTACAAAAAACAAAATAGCTGCAATTTTAAATATAAAAAAAAAATAATACGGTAAACACACATTTTTATTGTTTAAAAAGGACGTGAAGTGTGACAAGCAAAAAGAAAATGATTAATATATTTGTAAAATCAATTTTTTAATTAGCAATTTTAGGAGTAATCATTGCACTAAAAAGTGTTAGTGTTATTTACTAGATTAAAATTTTAGTGTATCTCATTCTTGATATGTCATTTAAACTGATTAATGATTAATTTATAAATTTTTTTAAATACTTAAATTATTATTCTAATATTAAGTGTTTAAGAGATGAAGGGAAAAAACCCTGACTTTACACCAAGAACTTAAAAGAATGAATCAACAAGACAAACAAGGAAAAAGTATTACGAGACCTGCACTGAATAAAATATCATTTTGGAAGTTTTCAAAGTAATTTCCTTATATCGAACCTATTTGAAAAATTCTGCAAGTAAAATCTGGCTGAAATACTTTAAATAATAATAATAATATATAAAATCAATTTGACTCCATAAAATTGTGCAAGTTATTATTTAAAATTTGAAAATGTTACTGTGATAGTCTGCTATCCATAACTGGATAATATATGATCTCTCGAAATATATTTTAACCGTAGAATCTAGATTAATATATAAAGCTGCTTAATTAGTTATAAAATTATTATAAAGATATATAAATCAGCAAATAATAAAAACAATATATAATCTATTGGCATATCTAAATGGCAAATAGTCTCTCTTATAGAAATCACAGCATTAAACAAAATAATTTTTCATCTGTATGGCAATTATAGTTTTCCACTTGTTATCCATAATTGGAGGGGATTCTTTTCACTTAGCATTCGTCATTTTTGTGTTGCTATATTCACTCGACGGTGTCTCCGACTATTTAAGATAAGAAGAATGAACGTTAAGTGAGCTCGTGTTCAAGAGTTTGTTAGCGTATCACTGAGAGAGACCGAGCAGATGAATGGACAGATTTGTGATTGTAAAATTAGATTTCTAATTCACTCTGTCTTCATAAATTCTAAACTCACAATGCAAAAGTTTGTTCATTCTAAATATTCATGGATAGATTTGCAGTTAATATGTTTAAAATGATTTAATTCTTCCATCTGGCTAGAACATAAAGAAAAGAACCACTACTACAACCATAACTCCTGAGAGAACACCAATAGCTGCCCATTGTTTTCTGTCTGAAAAAAAAAAAATAATAATAATAATTAGTGTTATGACTATAATTTAAATAAAAAACGATTAAAATTAATCTTTTTTTTTATATAATATAATAAAGATCTCAGCATATTATTTTCTTAACACTGATTCTTTTTTTGCTCAACAGCTTGTGCTGGATCAAAAATAAGAACCTTAAATTTTGCGCAGAGATTGGTCATCATCGATCAAATCAAAAACAACAAAAGATATATAAAATACAGTAGAACCTCAATTATCCGGACTAATTGGGGATGAAGGTAGTCCGGATAAGGAAAAATCCGGATAATCGAAACAAATACTTTAATTTGTCTTTTAATGATAATACAACACGTTTTCTTTTCGATGACATATCGGTAATATTAAAAGTAAATACTGTATTTAAATCGTGATCAAATTTTCAAGAAACAAACGTTCGTATTGAATTTGGACTACTACTGACCAACGCTAACAGACTACCTATTGTTTAAAAGGCCCTCTGGTGGCGCAAGAAGACGGATTTTATAAAATAAAAAGCAGTTGAAACTGCATTTTTATGAATAAAAATTTGACAAACTATTTATCGTTTTATGACGAGTAAAATTTTTTCGTCGCGTTCGCGGCTTTTAAGTAATGCATAAACCTTCGAGGCGCGAGGCCCTTCGGACCGCGAGGCATAGGCGGTGGCCCACGTCGTCCATGCCTTACGCCGCCCTTGGTCATAGAAATGATGTAATTTGAATATAAATTATTTATAAATATGTATGTCAAGTTATATTTTTATTACTACGTAAGATATATTTAAGAGTTTACGACCACTGTGCTGGGTGAAGACGTTGTTGAAACAAAAAAGGTTATGCATTCCGTCACGTACATAAACAGTTTCGTAATTCGCCAAGTGCAAATCAGCAAATTCGTAAAATTTTTGTTTATTTTGAACAATCCGGATAATCGAAAATCTGGATAATAGAGGTCCGGATAATGGACGTTCTACGTTATTTATTTGACAAGAATGGTAATAACTTCTATTTAAATCAGATAATTTAACAATATAGTAAAATAAAGATTGATATTATTTAACTTTCTTAGCAATTTTGTATAAATCTGGCACTGTGTACTTTGTTTCTATCAAAAAAAAAATGTACAGAATTCTTATGTATACAATGACTATTATATGTAGTAAACATAGTAAAATCAAAGATTATATTTTCAAATACAGGTTAAGTGATAATGTTTCAGTTGTTTGCTATTCAAAAATTACACAAAGATCAGTTAGGACATTAGGACTTAATATTTCGTATTTCGGAAAATTTATTCCGAATGACACAATTATGAAACTTACCAATGAAAATTTTCATTTAACTGTAAAGCTTTCATTTCAAATATGAAAAGTGGAAATTAAACCTGAGCTGAATGTTTTTAAGTCTTTCAAATGTAAAATGTATAATTATGCAGAATGTTGTTCTATGCATCAGGAAAGTTTTATTTTTAAAAATTTAGAATAATATTACATTAACTTTTCTATATTTGATTTATTAAGGGTCAACTGGAGTTTAGAATAAATTCTGAAATTGGTATTGTTTGAGAATATTGAATCCATTTGCAAACTAAGAATTAGATTTATATTTCAAAATAAATGTTCTGTACAGAATAAAAACTTTAAATATTCGTTTGAAATATTTTATACATTAAAATTGAATAAATGCTTTTATATATTTAACTAAATATTTATAATGTTACATTTTATATAACTTAAATTTTTGTTTTTACATATTGAAATTTTATTTATAAAAAATTAAACTTTTTCTGCTCTGTGGGCACTAAGAGGGAAATACTTAATTGCTGGTATTTTTTAAAATTATAATTCACAACTTTATATATGTAATTAATTTGATTCAGACACTTAATAAATCAAATATCGGATTATTTTATATTAATCAATCAAAAATAATATTTCTGCAAAAGATTTAAATATAATTTTTATTTTTTTATTATTATTTAATTCTTATTAATTGTAATAATAAAGAAGTGATTTTTCCATCCTTTCCAAAAGATAGTCTCTGTCATGAATAATTCAAACATTTTTTAATCAAGTTATTTCTATTTTAAATTGAAGGTGTAAAAATAATCATAATTAAGAAAATGTAGAAAAATGTAATAATGAAATCACATATTAGTGATTAAATAGTAATTCATATTTCTCATTTCTTGTTTTTTAAAAATGATAAATGAAAAATTTTTTCAGGAATTGATTTATTAGCATAAATTATGACAAATATTTTGCATAAAATTAAAATAAAATGTTTGTAAATACTTACCATTTGATAAATGTAATGCTTTGGTTAATTTCTTCACAGCACCTTCTATTCTAGTTTCATTATCATCCATTTCATTACTCATATCATCCAACATTCTAAAATATTAGATTAATGATATCAAGTTTTGAAACAACTTTTTAAAAAGTTAAATATTGTACACAGGAAATATTTTAAGTATGAATTCACAAACTACAAACTTAATAATTATTGAATATTCTTAAGATTATATTAAATTAGTAAGTTTTTTTTTAATAATTTTAGTAATTTTTCAGTTAATTACTTTTGCATATTCATAAATTTATGTAATTATTGCACTATATTTAAAAAGACTGACTAAAAAAAATACTGAAAAAGTTCACTAAATATTTGTTCAAATTCAAATGTAAGAAACAGAAGAAAAAAAATAACACAGTAAAATCTTAATTCAAATTTAAGAGGCAAAAATATCCCAACTGAATTAGAGTTTCAAGTTGAGTTTCATATCCAATTTTCCCAAATTTTCCTATCTCCAAAATTTCCCATTATCAAGCCATTTCTCAAGAACCTGCTCACAGAATGATTACAAAATACAGTTGTACACTTTATGGTGCTTTTGAATGCATTGTCGAGGTGACCGTAATATCCCAATCAGATCAGTAATGTATTGGTACTGGTGTTCTGATTCCAACAATGACTATTCTGATGATAATTTTGGCTTTCAACCAATCTGAGTATGATGATAAATTTTATATCTACATCTTCTTTACTAATAAATTATTAGACATCAATACTACTGTAAGTCCCTTCTCCTATACTTATAATGAAGTTAACAATAAATAAGCTTAATAATACATTTTGTATTTCAATAACAAATAGATTTGAACATTTGAATTTACAGTGCAAATTTAATTTAGAACAAAGTTGATTCAGTTAAAAGTTGCAGCTTGCCAGAAAATACAAACACCAGGCTAGAGTGATGATCAGACTTGACATGACCTATCATTCCTACTATTGGTTAACACTGTTAAATGCCTTTCTACTCTCACTAAACTGACTATAGAAAAAGCATTTGCAAAATTACACTCATCTTTATCAGTATAAAGATATTTAAACATAGTTGTCATAGCTATTTGAATAATTAGTTTAAAAAAAATTCATATTTGGGTATTCTGAATAAGGGATAATTCAGATATCTGTTACCAAATTATCTAGTGCTGGATAACTAAATATAAATACTTAAATATAAAAACGTCTTTAGTTTAAAGTATTAATTACAACTAACGTATCAAACTGAAAAAACATTTTAAATCACTTACACAGCTTGCTCATCATTATCTCGATTCATCTGCTGTGAAATTGTTTTTAAATTTCCAATTGAATTCTTTATTTGACCTAAATCTTCTTCCTGTGGGCTAATTATTACCTAAATACAACAGAAAAAAAAATTTATTAATTTTTTATTTCCTTCATTATAAAAAAACTTATTCTAAACTTTTAATAACATCTAAACACAACAATTGTTTACACAACTTTTTCCATTATTCACAGTTTAAATCAGTTTCTTTTAAAAAACTTATTAATTAAAAAAAAGATACATCTTTATGAATCTTCATTACAAAACTTTTAAAAAATTATTTAGGTTCAAATCAATTTATTTAAATTTATATCTAAATGCTGTTTTTTAATATTTTAATTTTCCTGTTAATGACGATAAATTATCTTAAATATAAATACATCATAGTGATGGAATAAGCTAGAACCATTTAAACAATCTATGCAATATACTGAAAAATTTCATATTATCTTGTACAAGGTTAATAATTGTATCACGTTTACTTTTTATTTTTAATTTAAATAATAGTTTCTCAAGCCACTTATTCTGTATGATAAATTCCAGGTACTTTTGAAAAAATATATCTTTTTAGACAGATTCCAAATACTATTGAACATAGTAAAAAAAAACACAGAAGAAACTAAAATGTCTTCACTTTGTCATGTCCAATCACAAGAACAACAGTGCACATGACACAAAATACAAAGAAAACATTTTAGTTCTTCTATGTATTTTTACTTTGTAAATATCAGTAGCCACTTTTAATTGTAACTTTGTTTTTAATTATTGGCTTGTCACTTGCGAAAATTTTAAACTAATTTATGCAGAAGTGAGAAAAAAAGTGCTGTGGGATACTGAAAAATATGATACTTATGTGCAAAATTACAGAAATGAAAAACATAACTAAAGTGTTTTATAATGGTTTCAGAAAGTACCATAGAAAAGATTTAATGTATAATTATAAAAAACAAACAACTGAAACATGTACAAAATATTTGTTCTGGATCAAAATTATAACATACCTGATTATCTTGTATAAAATGTCTTGTTGGACTTTCAATTTCATTTTGAAGTCTGATATATTTGGTATTTCCCAAACTTGAAGAAAGAATACTCTACAAGATAATTAATTATATTATTTAAATTATAAGATTTTACTTTCTAAGAACAATAAACATTAATAAATTTGAATTACCTGTCTTAACTTCTTGTCTTTGGTTTTACTCTCAGTTACAGCATCTTTCATACACTGCAATAATGTATTATTGTCTACTCAAACTGATGCACATACATTTCATATTTATAGAATTACATGTAAAGAATTAGCAGGATAGAGAATCAAATAAGCTCATTTAGTTTGTAATCATTAATTGAATAAGTTATCTTATATAATATAAAAGTTACATCCATTCACTCATTTAATTCCATGAATTATTTATGTAAAAATAAATATTTTACAAAAAAATAAAATTTTTTATTTGACATAAGGTCATTACAGGATAGATTTCTTTCAGATGAACAAGCATAAGTGTAAAAGGCAAGTACAATCTTTACAGTGTACATGATAGGAAGAATACAGCAAAGTGATATAGTATAATTTTATCAATGTTGTCAAAGTTTTTAATTCGTCATGATGAAATAATTTTCAGAACATATTGTAATTTAAGAGACTAATAACAAAATAGTCTAATCAAATCCTTGTACCCTAGATTCTAACAACCAGAAAATTTGAAGGGAGGTTACGGCAACCCATCAAATGGAAAAGGCACACAACAAAGTAAACCTCTTTCTAACACTTTTAAAACATATTCAATGAATAGATTAAATCAGATACTGTACTTTAGAAATGTGTAATGTTGAAATAACTGTAGGAAAAGGAATGTTAATCTTAAGATTTGTTAATTACTATTGATTCATTAGAAGATAATTTGCACGACCTTCAAAAGAATGATAAATCAATAAACAAACAACTCTACTAATGACTATAAATCAATGACAAACTTTCAAATGTTCTATTTTCCATTAATATTCATAAAACATTCAGCTAAAAAACATTTATAAATCTTATTACCTAATAAGATGTTCCACAATAATGAGAAACATCAGAGCAAGATTGCAAAATAGTATCACACTCTTGATAGTTACAAATGTCTCAGGATTGACAGTAAAATTTGACTTAAAACCAAGTTTTTATACTTATAAATTGATTATACATTAATTTTATTATTTTTATGTAATTACAAAGCCTAGAATATGTTAGAAAATTAGAAAAGTTTAACACTACAGATGGCCTGTAAAAATTCTGGTTTTCTCAAATTGTTCAATGACTGAAGGGCTTTTTGAAACTGAATTGCTATTGCAATTTCTTATTTTCCTGATTTTACAATATATTGAAATAGAGAGAGCAAGAGGAAGAACAGAATATCATTTATTCTATTAACAACTTTATTAAAATTACTTTCATATCCATTACTTAAAAATATTAATATATATTTACTCTCATTAATGTATAAACATTCTCTAAATTATTNAAAGCTAATTACACATATAAGTATATATATTTATATATATATATATTTTTAATGAATTTTGAAGAATTCTTTTAAAATTTATATACAGAATTAATCACTTGATATGTGTGATTACAGTGATCAGATCGTACGGATGCGATCTAGAGTTAAATTATAATACTGATTTGATTTAGTGGTGTAAATCTACTTTAGTTTGGTTAAAAGAATTCCAATTAAAAAATCGTTATTTTGAAGGAAAATACAATTGTAAATTTAAAGTGGAATTACAGAGAAATGAAAAAACTATAGGAGAAGGAAAGTCTTACATAACTTAAAAAAACTACAAACTACTACCTTAAACTTCCCTATCGGTGGAATGTAAACTGATTTACAAAAAACAAAATAGCTGCAATTTTAAATATAAAAAAAAAATAATACGGTAAACACACATTTTTATTGTTTAAAAAGGACGTGAAGTGTGACAAGCAAAAAGAAAATGATTAATATATTTGTAAAATCAATTTTTTAATTAGCAATTTTAGGAGTAATCATTGCACTAAAAAGTGTTAGTGTTATTTACTAGATTAAAATTAAATAGGCTCACCTATGTGTGTGTTACCGACATTTGGAATATACTGTGCCATTTATTCAAAACTTGCTTTGATTTTAATTCATTTTTCTGTACATTGAAGTTCGCCTGCTGACTACAAGTTGAGAAATGCCAAGATTGGATCCTGAAAAGTACTAAATAAATTAAAATAAAGAGAAAAGGATGCATTTGTTAAGCATAATTTTACAAATAAATATAATTTTTAATTGAGTTATGTTGGTGTAATTAAATAAACCTGCAGAGCTGCTTAACTTTCCCGGAACATTTAAAATTTTGGTGGCACTATCTGTTATATTTTATTAAACTTGTTATAAGCTTTTTATATCTTTAACTGACAAAAATGTTGAGGGTAGGGATGGATGTGATTAAAAAAATCATTAAGTCCGATCCTGCTGGAGATACACGACCCCCATTAAAGGTTGAGGGGGTGGGGAGATAATCGCCAAAATTTAATAGCATCAATCCCCTAATAAATCTCTGCAAAATTACAGAAATTTTTGACAAAAAGCATGGGAATTAAGCTTCAGAGGGTGAACAAAATTGTGTCCCCCAAACTAACATCCATAGGGAAATTATCTCAGATTTTTTTTTTGCACTTTGACATTTTAGTGTCCCAAGTTCAAAAATGTAAAAATCTGACAATTGGTCAAAAAGTGACTCCCTAATACTTTCCCTCTGTTATATATAAACATCCAGGAAAGTAAAATTACAAAATGACACATTCTTTACAGAAACCGTAAATTGGCAGTGTCGATGGCTTTCAGACTAGCACCGGTCCGGAGACCACCATTTTGGGTAACACACTCATAATACAGCTTAAAAAATATTGTAAGGTTTAATTATATAAACAACTTAATGGTTGAGGCTAAAGATAAAAAAAGCAAAGTTAGATTCCAAGACCTGCAATTTATTTTGTACTTAGAAAGAACAAATCATCTTACGTTCAAATATATGGGTTCTCTTAAAACATTATCTGACGGCAAGAATCTTTTTGGCATTGCCCAAACTTATGTACGTGGCGCGTGCCTATTCTGTCACTAAAATAAAATCGGTTTAAGATTTGTATGTTATGCCAAATTGTCCAACTGTAAAGAATAAAGACAATATTGAAGAAATTGATGCAAAAGAGAGTGTTTTGTTATAAATCTTCATATTGTCATCGAGGCCCATTGTATGCATCTGCAGTAAACCGACCTCACGTGGTACTACTGGATATGCATCAAATGGCAATGCTCTTAAGCAATTCCGCAGGAAAATCCAGAGAGGTCTGTCTTATCTGGGTTGCCAAACTTCTATGCAAACCACCAATTGAGGTGATGGGCCATTGTGTTGGTCCTAAAACGTGGTTTGTCATGTTGTAAATTTGGCACATCCTCTGCCTGTTGTGCTGGTTGCAGATAGCCACGACGTGCACCCATTCTACCATGACAGGTGTATTTGTTTCCTCCGCAGTCTACAACCTAACCGATGCCAGAAAGATCTCTTAGAGACTCTTGCATCTAAAAATCATTGAACTTGCATAATAAACAGACAGAGCAAACGTGATTTAAAGAAAACAATTTTAATACTTATAATTTGCTGCATTTTAACAGTTATATTAAAATATACCACAACAGCATATATATACAGCACTTCAATCAATATCACTGCAAAAATACATTCCTAAAAGATTTCTAACAATGTTTCCGATCGTAAACAATCTACATCAAAGTAAATTCTTAAAAATAATTCAAAAATTTACACCCGAAATTCAATTCGTCTGGATTATATAAACTGTCGATTTAATAATAATAATTAAATAGTTTCTCATTTCTCTTTACAAAATAAACAAGGCAGATAAAATATATTTAAACCTTAGTTATAATCGTCAAAATTAGGAAGAAATTTCTCGTTCGACCGACCAAACAATTCATTCCCAGCAAAATATATTTCTAAAACTCTCCTTTCCTAGTTAAATATTTATAATATATAATAACAAAAGAAAAAAAATTTTAATTTTAAAATTACAATTTACAATTTTGGCCCTTGTAAAATGTAAAAAATAATTGGAATGATGTTTCTGTTTAACATTTTTTTTTTAACTCGAAACAATTGGATTTTCCTATAATTATCCTAAGAAGCTATTCTTTAATACGTGTATATATACATACTTTATTGTTTGAAAGCGGAGGCGATAATTTCGATCTCAAAATAAATTTCTTCCTGATTAGAACAGCTGTACAATGCTGACTAGATATTTAAAATATATATGGAAAAACAAACTAAATTACATACGTTCAGGTATTCCAAAAAGTCTGTTTTTTTTTTGTCTTTTGACTATAAAAATTCTTTTACAGAAAGGTACTTCCGATTAAAATATATTTATTCTTTGTACTGATGCGTCGGCTCTAAACGGACAGACTGACTGACGTGGCATGTAAGAATGATATGGAATCTGAGCGTTTTACTGTAAAATGGAGTTAATAAAAAAAAATATAGGGGCAAAAGATTGAAGTGTTAGAACACATTTTTACCTTATTTAAGAGGAAATTTTACAACTAAATGGTCGTTAGAAAAGTAATGATCGAATTTTATGATAAAGCTAATTACACATATAAGTATATATATTTATATATATATTTTTAATGAATTTTGAAGAATTCTTTTAAAATTTATATACAGAATTAATCACTTGATATGTGTGATTACAGTGATCAGATCGTACGGATGCGATCTAGAGTTAAATTATAATACTGATTTGATTTAGTGGTGTAAATCTACTTTAGTTTGGTTAAAAGAATTCCAATTAAAAAATCGTTATTTTGAAGGAAAATACAATTGTAAATTTAAAGTGGAATTACAGAGAAATGAAAAAACTATAGGAGAAGGAAAGTCTTACATAACTTAAAAAAACTACAAACTACTACCTTAAACTTCCCTATCGGTGGAATGTAAACTGATTTACAAAAAACAAAATAGCTGCAATTTTAAATATAAAAAAAAAATAATACGGTAAACACACATTTTTATTGTTTAAAAAGGACGTGAAGTGTGACAAGCAAAAAGAAAATGATTAATATATTTGTAAAATCAATTTTTTAATTAGCAATTTTAGGAGTAATCATTGCACTAAAAAGTGTTAGTGTTATTTACTAGATTAAAATTTTAGTGTATCTCATTCTTGATATGTCATTTAAACTGATTAATGATTAATTTATAAATTTTTTTAAATACTTAAATTATTATTCTAATATTAAGTGTTTAAGAGATGAAGGGAAAAAACCCTGACTTTACACCAAGAACTTAAAAGAATGAATCAACAAGACAAACAAGGAAAAAGTATTACGAGACCTGCACTGAATAAAATATCATTTTGGAAGTTTTCAAAGTAATTTCCTTATATCGAACCTATTTGAAAAATTCTGCAAGTAAAATCTGGCTGAAATACTTTAAATAATAATAATAATATATAAAATCAATTTGACTCCATAAAATTGTGCAAGTTATTATTTAAAATTTGAAAATGTTACTGTGATAGTCTGCTATCCATAACTGGATAATATATGATCTCTCGAAATATATTTTAACCGTAGAATCTAGATTAATATATAAAGCTGCTTAATTAGTTATAAAATTATTATAAAGATATATAAATCAGCAAATAATAAAAACAATATATAATCTATTGGCATATCTAAATGGCAAATAGTCTCTCTTATAGAAATCACAGCATTAAACAAAATAATTTTTNTTGAAGTCTGATATATTTGGTATTTCCCAAACTTGAAGAAAGAATACTCTACAAGATAATTAATTATATTATTTAAATTATAAGATTTTACTTTCTAAGAACAATAAACATTAATAAATTTGAATTACCTGTCTTAACTTCTTGTCTTTGGTTTTACTCTCAGTTACAGCATCTTTCATACACTGCAATAATGTATTATTGTCTACTCAAACTGATGCACATACATTTCATATTTATAGAATTACATGTAAAGAATTAGCAGGATAGAGAATCAAATAAGCTCATTTAGTTTGTAATCACTAATTGAATAAAGTTATCTTATATAATATAAAAGTTACATCCATTCACTCATTTAATTCCATGAATTATTTATGTAAAAATAAATATTTTACAAAAAAATAAAATTTTTTATTTGACATAAGGTCATTACAGGATAGATTTCTTTCAGATGAACAAGCATAAGTGTAAAAGGCAAGTACAATCTTTACAGTGTACATGATAGGAAGAATACAGCAAAGTGATATAGTATAATTTTATCAATGTTGTCAAAGCTTTTAATTCGTCATGATGAAATAATTTTCAGAACATATTTTAATTTAAGAGACTAATAACAAAATAGTCTAATCAAATCCTTGTACAAGTAGATTCTAACAACCAGAAAATTTGAAGGGAGGTTACGGCAGCCCATCAAATGGAAAAGGCACACAACAAAGTAAACCTCTTTCTAACACTTTTAAAACATATTCAATGAATAGATTAAATCAGATACTGTACTTTAGAAATGTGTAATGTTGAAATAACTGTAGGAAAAGGAATGTTAATCTTAAGATTTGTTAATTACTATTGATTCATTAGAAGATAATTTGCACGACCTTCAAAAGAATGATAAATCAATAAACAAACAACTCTACTAATGACTATAAATCAATGACAAACTTTCAAATGTTCTATTTTCCATTAATATTCATAAAACATTCAGCTAAAAAACATTTATAAATCTTATTACCTAATAAGATGTTCCACAATAATGAGAAACATCAGAGCAAGATTGCAAAATAGTATCACACTCTTGATAGTTACAAATGTCTCAGGATTGACAGTAAAATTTGACTTAAAACCAAGTTTTTATACTTATAAATTGATTATACATTAATTTTATTATTTTTATGTAATTACAAAGCCTAGAATATGTTAGAAAATTAGAAAAGTTTAACACTACAGATGGCCTGTAAAAATTCTGGTTTTCTCAAATTGTTCAATGACTGAAGGGCTTTTTGAAACTGAATTGCTATTGCAATTTCTTATTTTCCTGATTTTACAATATATTGAAATAGAGAGAGCAAGAGGAAGAACAGAATATCATTTATTCTATTAACAACTTTATTAAAATTACTTTTATATCCATTACTTAAAAATATTAATATATATTTACTCTCATTAATGTATAAACATTCTCTAAATTATTAAAAAATTATAAGTATTTTATGTAAATACAATTGTAACAAATTTTTTTTATGTTCTATTATTTATTTTATCAAGAACTTTTCTTAGAAAAAAAAAACATTAAATTAAAAACTTACTTTTACTTCCTCCCTTGCTTGATTAATAAAACTCCTTCGATTTTTAATTTCTGTATCATCAATTTTAAATTTTTTTGGATTTTTTTCAACAATCCCTAAATATATTAAAATACGAACAAAGAGAAAAATGTGTGAGTAATGAAATATATAAAATTTGTTACAGAAAGTAAAAATATAATTAGAGAATAAAATAACTAGTAATTATCTCTATAATACATAAGTGATATTGAATATTAAAAGTAAGTGAACTGAAATTTTTTTTAAAAGTTATTTTAATTTATTTATACATTATTAAATTTATGCTCATATTAGTAAATTTATATCATATCTATATTATCAGTTTCATGTATAAAAAACATTAGGGGAGAAAAACGTTAACTATCAACAACCTGCAAATAATTTTGTCTGTTGAATATACCTCTAGATAAAAGTATGGAATCAGACCAGAGCACACAGGTTCTTACCTACCTTAACATTACAAAGAAAAGAGATATCAAATAGGGTTCAAATAAACAACTAAATCAACCAGAAGTTTCTACTAGTGCTTATTGTGAACACTAATCTGGAAGTAATTGTAGAATCACCTACATAACAAAAAAAATATAGAATTATCCTTACGGAACATTCAACATATAACCACAGAATTATTCCTTCACATGCAAATTAGCTCAAGTGAGGGGTTAGTGGATCAGACATATAAAGCTGCAGCATGTATGTCTATGATAAATCACAAAGAATATTGAAGATGGATGGATTTCTCATACCATTTATTAAACATTATTGAGGATAACGATGCCCTATTTTGGGATGATAATGCAGCCTGTCACTGATCATACTTTGTGAAAGATTACTTCCATCCACTATGAGTTGGCCTCCAAACAGTCCTGATCCTAACCCAATTGAAAATCTCTAGTTGAAGCTGAAGCAACAGAAAAAAGGGCACATTAACATCTAAACAGGAGTTATCTGTAGCTATTTGTCAAACATGATCACAGATTTCATTAGATTACAATGAGTCATTAATAGTCTGCAACCAACATAACCATAATTCATGCCAAAGGACTATTGATTATGACTGTGTATCAGATACACCATTATGTAGATGATTCCATAATTATTTCCAAATTAGTGTTTGCAAGGAGCACTAGTAGAAACTTTTACTTAATTCAGTTTGTTCATATGATTCCAGTAATATGAATGAAAAATAGCCATGACTAATATAATTTACTCAATGTCTTCTGTTTGTTTTGTCTCTGATGATATAATGTTTTTGAGGTAGGTCATATGTGTTCTCAGTCAGATTCCATAATTTTGCCAGGGATGGATATGTTTTTATTGACTATTAATTACACCAGTGCTTCTCAACCACTGTGCCGCGGCACTTTAGTGTGCCGCGAAATTTCTGAAGTGTGCCGCCACTGATTTGCCCCGAAATTTCTGAAGTGTGCCGTTTCCGCGACACAAAACATTTTGTTTACTTTGCAATGCAATTTCCTTTTATATTTCATTGAAAATTCTTATCGTATGCTCTTTTTACAAAATATATTATAGGTACAGTACATCCCTCAATTAATGAAGTAAAATTTTTTACAATTTATCTTATTGTTAGTGTGCCGCCAAATTTTTAAAGTACTAAAAGTGTGCCGTGACGAAAAAAAGGTTGAGAACCACTGAATTACACATTTTAGAATTATTGCATTTTACAGGTTATTAGTATATTAAAATGATGTTTGATTACATAACATGTATCTTATTTTAAAATTATAATAAATTTTATTAATAAAACCACAAAAGATGCTTATCAAGAAGACAAAAAATTACACACTATATATGTCTACTAACATTTGTTCGGAATATTGAGGAAAGCCTGAAGAAGAGACCAGAAGAGTCATCAAAAATGTTAGCACTAAAGAAATCATTTTTTGCTCTGGTTATTTGGTTTCAAGTATGATGATTTAAATTTTGAGGAAACATCAAATTAGTGATAAACAATGTTCTAGCTAGTACAATTAATTTAAACAAGTAATTTATTTAAAAATATATATTTTCCTCCTCAAGTAAACCCTGGGAAATAAAGGAGCTGTTAAAAATAAACACCAGTCTCAAATTCTGGTCTGAAAAGCATGAGAAACATGAAGTACTGTACTGTACAAGGTAATGTAGTTTAGTGTGGCAGGTAAGAAATTTAAGTAAAATTCTTCTTCAAAACATCTAGAGTTAGACAGCACTTTTTATTCCAAGGTTCACAAAAAACATTTTTAGAAATAAAATTATAAATATTGCCAAATATTGGGTGTGATAAAGTCATATTTAAGTTCATAAGTTGAGAGCTTGTCAAAGAATAATTAGAAAAACTCAAGTTAGAGATGGGGAGTTTGAACCAGAAGATGATTCTAACAATGACATTGAAACAGATACAAATGATATTGCAACAACCAAATCAGAAGATGCTTTATCAGATTAACTAGAAAACAGTAATTATTTTAAATTTAGCTGTAACCCATAAATGAAGTCAATAAATAGTTTTCATAGTTCTAAAAATGTATGAGCAATTAAAATATTTCTTTCAATTTTTACTCACTCGTCTGTTACAAGATAATAAACCCTAGTCTCAAAAAACTCCAGGGGACAGTAAGTTTTAGAAATAACCCCACTCCAGGGTTTAATCAAGGAAATGCAATAACTAACTTTAATGAGATAAATAAAATGAAATCAGAATATAATGTATTTAAATTTACAATGAGTTTTTGAACTGTAAATTAAGGAGAATCAAAGAAATACTTATACAATTACTTTAAAAATGACAACATTCATTAAATACAATATGAAATTCATAGAAATGTTATTAATCATTATAAATTTAGATTATATGATGTTTACATAAATTTTTTTTAATTACTCTGCAAATATTTGTTTATTCGATATGTTGTGTAATTAAAGATAAAAGTTGTCTTACAAATGACTGTTAATTTTCAATTATTTAGTTTTTTCTAAAGAAAACAAGAATTTACAATTTATTGTTCCTAAATTTAATATATATCATTCTGTTGAAAAGCCACAATATACTATAATATACACAGTGTGTGTAGTATGTGTTAAAAGTTTCTTACTAATGACAGAATATTAAAAATATAATAATAATTTTGTTATAATTTAGAGGTATTGATTGTGATTCTTACTGAATGTTTCAGTGTCCTCTCATTAGTGAAATATTGTATCCTTATTAAGCAATATAATTTCACTTTGAATATTTCAGGTTTCAGAATCAATAAACATGAAATAAAATCAATAGTTAAGTACATACATTGTTTTAAAATGCTTGTCTACTTTCTATATGATTTATATTGAGAGATTAATAATATTTGGTTCCTTCAAATGAAACAGACTGTAGGTGCAACACTAATGATGTTGACGAAGTGTAGGATTCTACTTTACAAACAGAGGAGAGCATATCTCTGAATGAGTTATTCAGTGTCATGCATTGTGTCTATATAATCTTACAGTACAATAAATTGCATGCTTGTATTGGATGCCTGAGTCTATGTTTCATTTGAAAGAACCAAATAATAAATTTATAAAAACTGATTAAAGAATTCTTATTTTTTTTATACATAATCTGAGATTTAAATCAATCTTTAAAAACTGAATTTAAACTAAAAACATTTTTTAAAATATTCCATTTATAGATTCTTCTTATTTTTAGAATCTCTTAATCACTCTCAAAGTACTAAAGAAATTTATTTTTGATTTCCACAAATAAACTTAAAAAAGAGTTACTTGAAATTAATGTTGAAGGACAAGTGTAAAATTTGATTATTATAAAATAAAGAAATGCTATTTAATTCTTATTTATTGTTTTATTATAAATAAAATTAAATACCAATAGTTTCTTCTAAATCATCTAAATCCCACTCAATACTTCTTAGACTATTACGTAATTCAGTGGTAGTCCACTCTTTCTCTTCCTTGGACATTTCTAAATCTTGTAATTCGCACCATCTTTGGTATAATCCTTTTGTAATAGTCACAGCTTTCACCACCTCACTTCAAAAAACAATGTTTATAAATTAAATTTTCAAATTAATTTAATATAACTTATAATTACAAATTATTAAATAAAAATCATTAGATTAATTTTACAAAATACATCTAAAAAATAAAAATTATTGTTTAACATCTCACTACTATGCATGTCAACACATGCTATAATCACAATTCTCTTTATATAGATCAATTTCATTGTAACTGATTAAATTTTAAAGTATACTCTTAAAAAATGAACATTTCATTTTTCATGTTAAGGCAAAAAATAAAATTTTATTACATTTTAAAAAACTCGGTAACGGTGATACAGAAACAAGCATGAAGTTTGTACAAAGACAAGACATAAGAGACATCTTAAATGTGCATGGACAATATCAACTCCAAAAATATATTGCCATATTGGAGAAGGTTGGATGATGGACAAAACATCCACTCAGTTCATGGAAGTTTGAGCTTCTTGCTACACTGCCAAAAGATCAAGATTTGGCTAACAACATAAAGCATCCTTAATGAGCCAGTCAGTCACCTGATATGAATCCCACTGAACATGTCTAGAATATGCTGGATTGTGCAGTGCAATGGCATTCACAAAAACCACTTTCCACGGAGAACTTTTACACTGCGCACAAAGCAACTACTATAGGTTGTAATATGCATATATGGCATTTGTATCACATGGATACTGCGAAATAAAAGACAGTGTCTGAAACTAAAGATGTCTATTTACTTATGGGTTGTCTCTTTATAGTGAATAAACTACATAATAAATGAATGTGTTTAAATAGTAAAAATAGTTCAGTGAGAGATTAGACAATGTCAAATGATATGATGAGAAAACCAATTTAAACTATAAATGAGAATGATGTAAAAAATTTGAGATCATATCTCATGATTGTCACACAAGTACTCAATAGATTTTAGAACACTTAAAACATTGACAAAGAAACAAACACACAGAAATTCACAACATAAATTTATAAACACTTCACAACTTTTGTGTTCAGTAATATGAGAGATAAATCTTCCAAATATGATTTATAAATCAAGCAGCAAAGCATGCAGTGGAAAATTCCATCTTCACTCCGCCTAAGTGTTAAAAAAAATATTCTTCATTTTAAAGAAAATGAGAAAGAAAACAATCTCTTGATCAAAGATCAAGTTCATGCTTGTTATTTTTTCCAAATTTTTGATGCTATTCATCATGAATTTGTCTAGCCAGATAAGAAAGTGTCTGGTTGAAAGTCATTTTATTTAGTATTTTTATTACATGCAGCACCATCCCGTGGCTATTTGACCTTATATTGAGATTTTAGGACGACACTGGGGGGAAAAATCATTTGAAGACTTAGCATTCAGAACACAAGTAAACAACTAACTTCACTGTTTTTATTTTAGATTCTGGAAATTGCAAAGCACTACATAAACATAGTAATTTAAAGGTATATCAAAATTGCTACATCTAAAAGAATGATTTAAAAGTAATTCTTATTATTTGTAACTTATATTGATACATGTATGAACAAAACTATTGTCTCATCTATCACAGTGTTACATAATAGCAATATTCTTTGGGACTCAACGACTTATTCACAATAATCAAATATTAAATTGGAAAATATGAAATAATTATAATTACATAGCCAACTGATAAAATCTTAATATGACAAAATTTAACAATATAGTAAAATAAAGATTGATATTATTTAACACTCTTACAATTTTTGTATAAATCTGGCACTTGTATGTTTTATTTCTATCAATATACAGAATCCTTACGTATACAATGACTATATGTAGTAAACATATAGTAAAATCAAAGATTATATTTTCAAATACAGGTACAGTGATAATATTTCAGTTGGTTGCTATTCGAAAATTACACAAAGATTAATTAGGACTTAATCATTCATATTTCAGGAAATTTATTCTGAATGAGATAATTATGAAATGTAGCAATGAGAATTTTCATTTAACTGTAATCACAATTAGAATACAACTGTCATTTGGTTACTTCCTTTTACTACCCATTTTTTTATTGACCACAGTACAGTAAATCAATTTCTGCTTATCTTTTTCAGTCAACCTTTTTTTTACTTTGCCATCATTCACAAATGCACACAGTTTACCATCTCCTGTAGCATAATCATAATGTAAACCAATAAAAATCTTATGTTTGCATTTAGTAACATGCTTGAAGTACTGCTTCTCAAAGATTTGATTCACAGCTTGTTCCTCATTCTTGTCACTCGATGCAATCTCCATTACAATTCTGTTTCATATTTTCTCCATATTAGCAAATCTGGCCTGAATTTCCTGCCCTCTACAACTAGTTGTTCACTTTCTACTTTCTCAAATCCATAGCCCATGTTATGGAACACAAACATAAAAAGAATTCCTTTCAACTCATCATGTCTTGATGGCTTGTGTGAAGGAAACATCTCTGCTATAGCCTTAACTGCAACTTCAAATGTGTTTTTATCTTGGCTCAATGATACTAATGCCTCAAGATACTCTTCAGGTTTCACTTTAAAGTTTCTTTTGTAGAAGTTTGTAGTATATAATTTTTTGCATAATTCATACGATGTTTTAAGGTTCGGTATTTCCAATTTGAGCTGACCATTGATCTTTTGGGCTACATACAGATAGCCTCAATATCTTAAGTAATGAAAGAACATTTTCTATTGCTTTATCACTCAGCTTTTTGCATGGAGAGTAATTGAGCAATATTTTGAGATGAAACAAATCATCAGCAGTCATTTTCTCTTTCCTATCATTAATCATTATATATCCCACTTCTGAAAGATTCAAGAAATTCTTTCGAATGGCAGAAATTGCAAGCAATTTCTCTAGGTTATCTATACCCTGATTCCAAAATAAGCTTGGTTTACAGTCTATTACTCCGACTCCTCTGGCCAGAAATTCTCCATATCCTGTCCTGGGTGAAAGTCTTTCAAACTGGGTTGAAGTCTGAAAGTTTTTAAACACACAGCATATAGCCATGATTTAGCACTGAGTGACTTCTACCTCTTTCCTGAACTGAAAACGTGGCTAGGAGGACAGAGGTTCAAGACTAAGGACAATCTTCAAAACAATGTTAATCAAAACAAATTTTATCTTTAATCCATTTTGGTAACTCAACATATGAGTTTCCACTTAATGGTTTATATTTGTTTACATTAATTCTTAAATAATTGATTCTCTTTAATGTCTAACCTGAGCTTTTTGCTTCCAATTCAATCACATTTTGAGATGAATAAATCTTTTTGTTCATACCAATACTCTGTTAAATTATTTTCATCTCCTTGTCTTAGAACAACATTTTGTAACAAACTTGTGTGGCATTTCAGCTTCCACATTCTTAAAACCACATTCCAACTCTAAATTAATTTAAATATTTTTTATGGAGATTTAAAGCATTTCTGATTATATTAATAGCCTTTTCTTTTATTAAATTCATAAAACCTTCTAAATCTAAACTTCCATCTTGATTATTACGTTGATAAGTCAATAATCGCCCTTTATAGGCAATTTCAACCAAAATATAATCAGATATGGGTTGTGCTTTGCTTCATGCAACGGGATACAAGTTTCTTTAATATATTTATTACATTTATCACATTTTATTTTCTTTAATCTTTTTTTTTTCTTAGGTTTAACTATAATAATCATCATCATCATAAGGAAATATTTCTGCAATTTTTTTATTTTCCTTTTCTTTTTTCTTAAGGATAAAGGTTTTAAAATAATAGAGGTTTATAGAATTTGTGGGAAATAGAAAGCCACTAATTTTTTCATCTTCAAATAGCAATTGGGAGATAAGTATTTCCTTTTAATTTTTAGGTATAAATGCTTCAATTATTGATAAATTTACATGATTTTATTTTATGCATTCCCACAAAAGGACTGGCCAGAAATGCTAGCAACTTTTTGTGATGGGAAATAGTGTTTTAGCCTCTAGTATTCATAAACTTTTTGAATGTTTTTAGGTAGTTTTTCCTTGTTTTTAAGCTCCGATTCTTAAAGCAGCTTTGCCACTAGTACCCAAGCAGTTTTGTAAGTACTGTACTATACAAGTACACCTGGAGGCCTTGAAAATTTATAAAGCCAACTTGAAAGGCAACTGTATTAACTTTAAAGACTGCAAGACAGTGTCACATGCATGGAAATAACTGTATGAGAAATTCGAACAAAGTCAATCAGTCTTGTGAATTTGATATATACAAAGTTTAAAGTCGAACATCATTGTTCTAACATTCCAATTTAGAAGTCAGTTTAGTTCATTACCTGAAACAGGCCTTGGTGAAGGCCGAAAACATTTGGAAGTTACGTTAAAGTTCAATTACTGGTTAAAAATGGTTTTGTTTGTGATTGTTTATTTCTCACTCCAGTATTTTTGAGAAGACTGTTATACTATACAATGTATAGTAATTTTTAAATTTTTTCCCCTAAAAGTACAGCATTTGGGAGATGGTTTTTTCTTAGTTTTTATGTTCTTACACCAGAGCTTCTAGATCCAACAGTCATTTTTGAGGCAAGTTACTTAGATTTCAATGAATTTTAGTGATTTTATTGCATTTCCATAATACACCATCTAGAAATTCTTAGGGTGGTTTGAAAAGGTATAATTTTGACAATTTTTTTTAAACGTTCAAATAGTATGTTGTGAGAAGTAAGATTTTAATTTTTTTTAGTCATGGTTTCATGTATCAATGTGTAGATTTTAATGATTTTTATTAGTTTTTTTTGTTCCCACAAGCATACTGGCTAGAAATTTTTAGATTTTAAAAATTTGGATTTTTTCTTAAAATATTGATTAGTTTGGGGGTTACTATGCTTTATTTTAAGGCTTTGGAAATTTGGGACATTTTGGGAAAATTTAAAATTTGGATTTTTTTTGCAAGGTTGGTTGTGATTTTTTTTGGTGCTTTTGTTATTGTCCACAAGATCTGTCCTAGAAGTAATATTTTACATACTACTGATTTATAATCATTCAACTTAAT